CGAAATATTTTTGTAAAAATTTTAAAAATTTTGTGGCTGTTAATTTTAAAAGAGATATTAAAATAACACCTTAAATTCATACTAAGAAATGTTACATTAAATTAATTTAAATAAATTTGTAATATTTTTATATATTTTAATCAAAATATAAAATTTGAATTGAATAATTATGAAATATTTATTTCATTTTTTATTTATATGGATTTAATTTAGAAAAAATATTAAAATAATAAATTGTGACAATTTACGTTCTTAAATTTCATAATTAAAGGTTATAAAATCCAAATAATTTATTATACTCTATTTTCATATTGATTCTAATTAAACTATAAAAGTTACATTTTATTTATTTTCGTAAAAGAGCTTATTAATAAGTTTTATTCATGCATATTAATAGTAAGATAATATATGCAGCTACATAATCATTAAATTTTTGTTAAATATTCTGTGAAATTTTTTATTAACTACTTTTTTTCTTCTGATTATGTTTTAATTACCTATACTTTAAAAGATGGTATTCTTAGTCTAAATTCAATTAGAAATGAACGAGACGTTAGTGGTGGAATAAAAAAATATGCAACAACATCTAATAATGGTTTAGAAAAATGTTAGAATCAGTACAAATTGGTTGTTTGCAGGGAATATAGCAGAATATAATGATTAAAAGGGACTATCGTATATATATTATGAGGTATGCTAATACTTGGGCCAAGCCCAAACACCCTCCATGAATGGAAAAAATAAAGCATAAGTCAGCAGGAAAAAAAATTCATGGGTAATTATACGATTAGATATTTTGTAAAGAAACTCGAAACATATTTATCAATCAAATCATAAATTAACTATATAAAAAATATAACAATTTTTTAAAATACCATGTTTGATATATTTTTATATTATTTAATATTTTTATTTTTATTTAAATAATACAAATTTTAACTATTTTTACTAAATTGAAAATCTCCATTTGAACGGTGACCTGATTTTTAGTTAGGTAAAAATGTGTGCGTGTTTTTTTCTAAAATGTTCTGATAAAAATGTTATTGTCCATGATAACACCTTTTCAATATTTTATTTATCAGAGTCTATCGTAACCCATGGAAGAATCTGCGTGTTGTACATTGCAAAAGGATTAAGAAATCAAGTCTCCAGGAACACAAATCAAACAAATAGTCATAATATACATATAATGGACCCGTTACAGTGAACAAGAGAAAAAAATAAAAATCAAATAGAAACAAAAAGTGATTAATGCAATGTTGCTTAATCAACCTTGAGTTGGCAAGCCAATAATTAAGTTTAAGTGTTTTTCACGTTCAATCAATCATTCCTTTCTCTCAAAACAATTTGCCTCCTCCACACAAACATCCAAATCACAAATGTTGCATTTTTCAGGAAATCCAAACTTAAAAACTAATTTGAATTTGAGTTGTAAGAGTAAAAATAATCAATTAATTAATTTGTTGAAATTTTTATCTTCCGTATAATAAAAATGGTATCTAATTTATCCATTAACAAATTGTTTACAGAGGAATATACAACTCATGCACAGAATAATACTATCCAAAATTTTATGCATAAAATCAAATATTTAATTATGAAAAATTATAAAGATAATCTGACTAGTTAATTTTAATGAATAATGTCATAAATTTAAATTTTATTTCAAAGATATTCATAAAATTAAATAGTTTAAGTTGTGCTTATATTTAATGACACTATTAATTAGTACTTTTTCAACCAATAAAAAATTATATTGTTAATGACCAATGATTCACAATAAATTAATGGCATAAAAATGTCACAACGAATGTATTTTAAAGTAATTATATATTTTTTTATTTAGAAAAATATTTTCCTGTTTGTTTCATATATACATATGTCGGAAGTGTATTTAAAAAAATTTATTTGATATACTTATTTATTTTACGTCCTCCAAAAACATTCTATGATAATTGGTCCTTAAAAAATAAAATTATTTAGTTTATTTACTTAACAAATAAATACAAATTAATCATTCAAAATCATTTAAAATATTCATAAGTTGTTAATACTTAATATTAAACTTATTCACGTATATTATAATATTATTGTTAATTATTTTATCAATTTATAAATTAAACTATTAATAATAATAAACGTTTTATTAGTTTGTCATACATCAACCTCTTTCTTAACTTATACTACAAGAAATATTGAAATGACTGACGGTGGTAAAGACAAAAATCCCTCAGTAATTATTGACGGATAAATCCGTCAATAAATATTTTACGAATGGAAATTCTTCGATAATATTTTTATTATTTATTGCATTTTTTACTTATTTTATAGCCTATTTTTTTAGAAATTCCCTCCCTTTTATATTTTTATTATTTATTATTATTTATTTTCCCCTATTATATTTTTATAACTTTGAATTATTACTATCCAAGTATCTTAGAGTTAGAGACTCATACTCCAACCACTAAGCTACTAGAATTTTTTGATAATAATTTACAAATAAATTATATTTATATACAAATATATTTATATATTTACATATTTATATATATATATATATAATTAAATATTTATTTTTTTTAATTATTTAATTTAATAAATTATTATAAATTAATCTAATTATGATTAAATTAAATTACTAAATAAAAAAATATTTAATTTTTTAATTAGATGAATAATTAATTTATTAGAATATATTATATAATTTTACCCACGGATATATCCGTCGGTAATTAATTGTTAATTTATCAATCGATTTACAGACGGAAATATCACGTCGTTAAATAATTGTTAATTTACCGATGAATATATCTGTTGGTAAGACCAAATTTTATATCCGTCGGTAATTTCAGTCGATAATGACTCATTTTTTGACTGCTACAAATCCATCGAAATATGCGATTTTCTTGTAGTTATATTCACATGACTATATATTTATTATTTATTTGTTTCTTAAACAAAATAGAAATTTCATTTATAAGATTTTAATCCAATATAATTTGTTAATTTCTTTTATCAATAAGAATATTGCTTGACACTATTTTACAATTGAGCATATTTAATATTTTTAATTTTATTTAACATATTTTTGGCATAGATAGTTTAATATATATGATTTGATTAATTTTAATTTAAAACACTACTCCAATCGATAACATTAGTTATAGATTATCATGGTATACTTTAATATTTTGAGGGAAATATAATATTTTTTTGTCCAAATTCAAAGTTTAAATTTTAAAAAGCCCAAAAAAATTAAAAGTCTAATACATATTTTCATAAACAAGTTATTTCATATTGTGAAAATCATTCAATTTTTTTGAATAAAGATATTGGTTAATCTAACATATGCAAAAGAAAATATCAATAGAAAAATAAAGTAGTCACTTTAGTGTTGGTCCCCGAAAAGGGAAAAAACACGAAAATTTATAATTTTAAACAAAAAATTACTAATTTAAATATTTTTAACAAAATTATATAAATAGGTAAGCCGACAACTATATATAAAAGAAGTTGTATTATCAAGTTTTTATTTATTACGTTTTTAATATTTGTTATTTTTTTTAAATGATTAAAATAAATTTTACAATAACAATTACATTAAGAGCTATTTTTTTATATTATTAACTAAATAATTATAATAATAAATATTAATTTTATTAAATTGTAAAGTAATAAATATAATATTAATAATAATAAGTATCAATGAAATTTTTTATTTAATAATTTCTTTTATTTTTTAATCTTAATTTTTTAATTAACGATATTAATTATTTAATATATTTTTATTTTTAATGTAATTATTATTATAAAATTTATCATAGAAAATAAATAATAAAAGTAAAATAACATTAAAGACAAAAAAAATTTGAAAACATAACGAAGAAAAACAAAAAATGAAATCATATTTAATTGCGCGACTTCTTTTTTTAAGTAGTGGGTTATCGTGTTTGTGCCCAAGAAAGGAAATTGAAAACTGCCTCAATTTTGCACTTTCTCTTACTGCTACAGTTCTAATGGTTAATTTTTATAATAATTATGAAAAAAGAGTAATTCATAAATAATATATTTTAAAAATAATTTCGTGAAACTGTACGAAAGATAGGGGTATGAAAATAGATGCTAAAATATTTGTATCTAAATTTAATTCATGACTAGTTTAGGTTATAGCTACATAGGTTTAAATGTATGATAGATTATTCATTTATTATAAATATAAGAAAAAGTTTTTAACAACTCCAATCTAATAATATAAATTATTATTTTATAATTAATAAATTATTTTAAAAATTATGATTATAATAAAATAATTTTTAATTTATATTATTGAATTAAATGAATTTTTTTCTTATAATTTATATATTAAATAATTATATTTAAAATAAAAAATAATTTAAATAATATAATTTAAATTTTATTTAAATATTTTTTAATTAATTATTTTTATATAAATACATTAATATTTTTTTAATTTTAAATATATCAAAATTATCATTAATCCATTCATCTACCAAAAAAAATAGGATTTATTTTAAAATATAAATTAAATTAAATTATAAGATTTTTTTTATTTGACTCATGATATTAAACTGAAGTGCCTGTATTCAGAGTTTTGAAAAAGTGACTCTAGCTTTTGTTGGGTCCAATACGTAATGAATTTAATAAGGTCTAATAGAAAGTGGCCAAGCGTGGGTAAAAATCAATCCAAAATTTTGAAAACTGTAAAAATTATAAATTAAAGAACATTTAATAAAATCGACTAAATGAATTACACCCTATTGACCCTTTTTCACGTTCAATCAATCGTCTTCTTTGCCATTCCTTTCTCCTTAAACAAATTGGACCCTCTCTCAAACATAAATCTTCCATTTCAGAATAATCTTAATGCGCAAGAAATATTAAATAAGATTGAGAAAGCATCTAATTTGGCACACACAGTTTTTTATTGGTGTAAATAATACATAGAAGATAGAGAGAGGTAGTACAAGACAAAAAGAGTATTAAGCATGAACGGGAGTAAAGGAAGTGAGGTTCCTGAAATGCTCCCACACTTTCTCCCATACAATTGCTTCGTAATTGCCGGAGGAGGAACCGTCGGTGGCGGTGAGGATGAAGCGGTAGTTGAGCCCTGCGACTACCTGAGTGTCACCCTTTATCACCTTCTCCAACTTCAGTTTCTGACCGGATCGCTTATCATACTCAGTAACCGCGTAATCTGCGATCTCCGTTACGTGAGGGTCGTTGATGTTCTTGATGGGGCTCCATCCTCCGGGCATACTGTTCTCCCTTGCAACCGCGGAAACGAAAAGAACAAGGGCCAGAAGAATAAGGAACTGAAGAGGTTTCATCGTAACTGTTCCTTCTTCTAAGGGCCTTTAACTTGCAAACTGCTGAGTTCAGAATATAATACTGGGTTGGGGTTGGGTTTCTGATTTATAGCACAAACTGGAGTGGAGGGGAATCGTCTTTTATGGGTCGGATCACAGTGGATGGACTTGGTCCACAACTATCATAGCCCAATAAAACCAAAACTATCTTATTTTTACATATTATTATCACTGAAATATAATTTATTTTTTTATATATAAAATAAATTTTATTTTATTTTAATATAATGAACTTTTAAAATATTTTATAATTATTAACGCCAAAAACAAATTTTCATAACACTAATATAAAAGAGTAAACTTCTTAAAAAGTCATCAGCAAGTTGTTAGGGTCGAAGGTTGGAGAAGAAGAAGACAGTACACGTTGAAAAAGAAAAAAAGAAAATGTCACTACTACAAAATATGTTTTTAACGTCGTCATTTAACGTCGATTAAAGCTGAGCCGACGTTAAATACACTTTCAACGTCAGTTGGTTAAAAAACAAACATTCTACGTCGGTTCTAGATGAACCGACGTTGAAAGTTTTTTAATTGACACTTCTACGTCTGGCTCTAGATGAACCGACGTTGAATGTGTTTTCACCCAAAAATTTTCTTAAGTTAAAGAATTGTCACTGACGGATTCGAACTCGAGTATTTTAGAATTGAAAATCGATACTCCAACCACTAAACTACTCGTAATTTTCTAATAATAATTTACAAATTAATTATATTTATATACAAATAAATATATATTCGTGTAAATATAAAATTTACTTAAGTTAGAGAATTGTCACTGACAGGATTTGAGCCAGTATTTTAGAGTTGATACTCTAATTATTAAACTACTTGTAATTTTCTCGATAATAACTTACAAATAAATTATATTTGTATACAAATAAATATATATCCGTGTAAATATATATTTATTTATATATATTTTCTAGAAAGTGTTTTTATTTTTTTTAGTCAAAAATTCATTTAAGTTAGAAAATTGTCATCGACAATATTCAAATCCAAGTATTTTAGAGTTGAAAATTGATACTCCAACCACTAAACTATTATAATTTTTTATAATAATTTACAAATAAATTATATTTATATACAAATAAATATATATATCCATGTAAATATATAAATATAGAATATATAAATACAAATATATTTATATATTTATATATATATATAGTTATATATTTATATATTTATATGTTGGATGTGAGGGCGCGTTTGAGGGTGAAAGTGATATTGACTCTCGTTTGAGTGAAAATACATTAAAACTCATCTGAAATTCACTCGCTCAAGCCTCGCTTGAGCGAAAATTAGTATTTTTCGTTTGAGCGAAAATTAGTATTTTTCGTTTGAGCGAATGATGTGTTTCCCAAATTTATTTTATATCATTATATAAATAAATTATAAATATTATATTCTGTCATTAAATTACAAACCCATATAAAGAGACCCGCTCACAAATTTGACATCAAATTTTGAAAACCCACTTGACACACATTTTCACCTTCGAGCGTGCTCTCACATCCAACATATAAATATATCAAAATATATAAATATATTTGTATTTATATATTTATATATTTACACGATATATATATATATATATATAAATATAATTTATTTGTAAGTTATTATAAAAAAATTTGAGTAGTTTAGTGGTTGGTGTATCGACCTCCAATACTAAGATACTCGGCTTCGAATCCTATCAGTGACAAAAAATTAATTTAGTAATGCTCTTCCAGAATACTAAGATACTCGGCTTCGAATCCTATCAAGTGACAAAAAATTAATTTAGTAATGCTCTTCCAGAAGCCACGTTGAAAGTCTTATTTATAACACTAACAAGAAATAAGACGCGAACTCCTTATCAGAAAAAATATATATATACATAATACATTTTACATCTTCATACACTATACATGTTTTTTTTTTTTTTTTACGAGAACATATAAGGATAAAATTGTGATTTACTTTTTGTTAAGGACATTCGAAATTTCATGTACTTATTCTTTTTATTAAAATAGTGAGATTATCAGTAAGATCATTATTTTGAAAAATACTGATTTGAATTTATAAATTATTAGATATATAAAATTTAAATATAATAAATAATTTACTTTTTATTATATTAAAGAAAATACATTGAAAATTTATTATTCACAATGAAAAATAATATTTTAATTATAAATTAAATCATTATACCTTTTTTATGTTTGCGGGTCCACGACGAGACGTTGAAACATAATAGTTTATATATATATATATATATATATATATATATATATATATATATTTTTTTTTTTTTTTTCTTTTTTTTTTTAATTAACCGAAACACAGACGAGAATTCCAATCAAATAATATCTCTGAGAAGCGAACCACAACCGAGAATCGAGTCTTGCTTAAACGAAACAATACTTAACTGTTTTTTTCTTTATATAAACAATTAATAAATAAATATAATTAATATTCGTCAAATAAATATTATGACATAAACATGTTAATCTATTTGAAATATTAATATTATTTTGATAATAATTCTATAATATAAAATAATATTTTACATGAAGTTGTAGAAAGAACTCAATTCGTGGACCAGGGAGAGTTTTTTGGCATCCATTGAACATAGTGATCTGTTCCAAAAACAATAGCTCCTGCAAAACCAAAGCTTAGACGTCAGAATCATCCATTATCAATCAGGTTGAATTTCTCTAAACAAATATCCACCCGACATAGACAATGAAAATTAATTACCTAGAGTTGGCATCAGAATTGAGAGCACAATTATCCCAGCAACCTTAAGTGGCAGACCAATTTTGAGCATGTCTAGGATTTCAATATGGCCAGTGGCAAATCCAACTACATTTGACGGAGTTGAAGTTGGAAGCAAGAAAGCAAATTCAGTTGCTACTGCTCCTGGGACCATAAGAAGAAGAGGATGTACGTGCATAGTCCTGGCTATGTGATATAGAAGTGGGATAAGAAGTGTGGCAGTGGCATCATTAGATGTGATGAACTCAGTAATTATGCTACTCATGAGACTAACTGCAGGAGCAATGGCCCAGTATGGTGCATCTTCCAAGAAATCCAGGGCTCTGGCAAGCACATCTGCTAGGCCGCTAGATTGGACTCCATCAGCTAGAGCAAACCCAGCTCCAAGAAGCAAAATAAGGTTCCAAGGTAACTTCTTGCATTCATTCCAGTCCATTAGCTTCTCTCCCTCTTGTTTCTTGTTTGGGATTATGAACAATAACACAGCCACCATAACCTGCACACAAAAGGATTAGTTCTTTCTTGTTCTTAATGGAGGCAATAATAAGAATAAAACCTGAAAGGGGAATATAAGGGGTGCAGTACTCACACTGACACTTCCATCACCAACAAGGCCATGGAAGAATGCTCCCCATCCCGGAATGTCATCCGTGATTCTTCTTGTCATCCATAATACGATCAAGAACTGCACTCACAATACCTCTATTCAATATTTCAAGGTCTTTGACATAAAAATAAAATTTCTGATAGTTCAATATAAAAGTTATTGAAATCTGAATTAAGATATACACACCCCAAACACAGCCAACACCATTTTCTCGGCAAAAGACATGGGACCTGCATAATACAAATTACAGGGTTAATACTTCCTCAACTGATATATGCCATCAAATCATGTTTCGAAATGAATAGTATATGAAGTGTTCAGATAACTCGTAAAATGGGTTATTAAACTACTATCAACATGTTGTATAAATGAATTTGATAAATGACTAAAATGTCAGCTTCACTTATATATTTTTCTTTACGTTAGATTGTATTATAGTACAGGAACAAACTTAGAAAAAAAAAATTACCAACCTGATTTAGTTAAAAGATATCGAAACACACTTTTAACACATATAATTTAACTTATTTTCAAACGCAAGATCGTATGGTGTTGTCCATATATGTTGTGAGCAATTTCAAAGGACAAGGCAATAAGACATTCCACGTAAGTTCCAGTCTCAGTCGCGTTAATATTTCTTTTTTTCAATTATTGATTGATGAACCTCATGGTGCACCGGCTACAAACGGAATATCACTTTTACATTAGATAATAATAATATTCGCTACCACTAGCTTATCCCACGATTTAAGCATTTTATTAATCACTTAGTTTTGGTAGTTTATATAATTGACGATCAATAACTATTATTCTCTATAAAAAAGAAAGAGAATTAAGGTCTACAAGGGTGAGGGTGAGCTCAGTACGAATAGAAATGAAAGAGAAGAGAAAGAGAAGGAAGAACGTGGTTTAGTATGCAAGAAAATCATAAAATAAAATAAAGTAAGACCCACGTGTTTATTTTCGACGTCGTTGTACAACCTTTGTTTTTAATTATTTTTTAATCTTTTTTACTTATTTCTTTTATATCGACTAAAGGGAAGATAAGTAATAATGGCCACCGATCCGTGCGGGAATGATGAATACCTTTTAAGGTTTCGAGACAAAGCCACAAACAAAACGACAAAGAATGAGAAAGTGACCGGGCTAACTAGCTAGACTTTTTCTCTGCCTTTTCTTTTTCCTTTTTCACTGTAAAGAATTAATGTAGAACAGTAAACAAACTGAGCGACAAAAATGAGTTCTTCATGTTCTATTATTAATTTTAGTTTTTTTAATTCTTCTAATGTGATGTGAAACCGTGAAGAAAAAAGTTACCGAGAGCTTCGAGGTCTCTCTTCAAGTGTGCTTTGGTGAGATAAGAAGACAGGGCCTGAGAAGTGTTGTTTCGAACATAGAAGAAACAGATGATGCACCAAAAGCAGAAGAGGAAGAGAATGGCAACAGGGAAACCGAAGAAGAACCAGGTGTTGAAGCTAATGGGTTTGGCCCCTGGGACAAGGCTCTTCCACATCCCCACCAATATGAGGTTCACACCTGTCCCCGTCAGAGTGCTGATCCCTCCAATGGGCGTCGCGTACACCACCGTCAGAACCACCGCTCTGCTGAACTTGTTCACCACCTCCGATTGCTCCTGCACCGCCGGCAGTCGCTGCAGGATCCCCGTCGCCACCGGCATCATCATCACCGCAGCTGCCACGTTGTGCATCCACATGCTCACGAAGAATGTGGTGGCGCATAGGCCCAGCAGCAGCAGCCTCGGATTCAGCGGTTCACCACAGAACACCGATGTCACCTGTAGTAGGGTCAGGTCATTTCCATACATCGTACCACGCAAACATTAATATTTCTTTTATACCGTAGTAATGATTGAAGATTCCATATCTCATAAAAATATTATACTACACAAGGAATAATGATAATAGAATGCAATGGAACAGAGTGACTATGGAGAATAGAGTACTGACTTTCAAGGCTAATCTTCTGTGCACGTTGTACCGTTCAACAGCGAGGGCGAGAATGAAACTTCCCAGGACGAGGGTGATGACGTCGTCCATGTAAGAGTGAGCGACGCTGTCGGCGGAAGCTATCCCAAAGAGAGGGAAGAGAAAGAGGGGACACATGGAGGTGACCGCAAGAGGCACGGCGGCGGTGACCCACCAGGAGAAAACCCAGGCAATCACAGCAAGCATGTTGCGGCTGCTGGCGGGAGCATCGAGTTTGACGAAGAGGTATATGATTAGGGAGAAGAAGGGTCCTAGGATGACATAGAAGTTGTTGAGGGTGAGAATGGACTTGGGGCTGAAGGGAGAAGAGGTTCGTGTTTGTTGGGTTGGGTCGTGAAGTGGTAGAAGTGGAGCTTTCAGGTTGAGGTCGCCGGAAGTGGATGCCGGACATTGTTCTGTGGTCATTTTGGAAGCAAATATGAAATGACTGGGGAAGAGCAAAGGTCGAATCTTGGACTTTTATATCAGGATCCTATCTGAATTTATGCATAATGAGTATTCTTCTTTTTTTTATCATATTATAATGACAAATCATCAACTCAAGTGGTTCCTTGACCATTTGAAAATATGGTTAAAATATAAATTTTTTAATTATAAAATACTTTACAACTTGGTTTAATAAATATCAAGTTACTTTAAGGAAATTGTCACATTTTATATAATGTAAAAATTTAATTTGGAAATATTCATTATGTTTATAAAAGGTTTGTTTATTAATAATTTGTAACTGTTTATAGTTTGTTTAACATATTTATTATAAAAAAAATGTTGTCAATCATGTATCCATCTATAATTAAATTCTGTAAAAAAAAAAAAACAATCTGTGCCAAAAACAAAATAATGACTAAATTATGTTACAACACCGAGCTTATTTATTTCGCTTTGAATGGATGTTGCAAATAAATTACAGATGTCTTTTTCTTGTGTAATATTAAAACTGTTTAATTTTAATATATTTAATAAAATTTCAATAATTTATTTTTACAAAATTATAAGTATGTTTTACTTCAAATTTTTTAAGTGGAACTTAAAGCACGAAGTCCTGATTTTTATGAACTTTACTGACACGGTTTACTTAAAATACAACTTGCCCCTGTGTATTATTCTATCCACTACAATATTTATAATTTGTTCGAAATAACTTGAAAATTTAAACATCTTTGAAATTTTAGTTAATTGAACTATTACGGCCAAAACAAGTTATTTTAATTATATATTAATATAAAACAGTGGAAAATTATTTTCACCCTTTTCTTTCATTAAAATTCGCTAAAATGCTTATAATTATTGAAAATTTATTTTAATATTATTTTTATATAATGATGTTATCATTTGTTTAGAATATTTTACTTAAAATTTTTCAATAAATAAATTTTAGAGGAAATTTAAATGACATGCTAAGTTATTTAAAGTTTGTTTATTATTTTAATAAAAAAATTATAAAAAATAAAAAAACTAAAGAAATATAATATATTTTATGGTTTTACGTTGAAACGGCTATTCTTAGATGTTCTTAATAAATTAATAATCTTACCAAAATTTGTGTCCGTCAATACTTTTTAAGAAAAAACGTAAATTTGTATACAAATAAATATTTTCTTTGAAATTTTCATTTTTTTTCATATATATATATATATATATATATATATATATAATTATAAAATAACGTAGCTTTAAATATAAGTGATGTAACATAAAAAAATATCATTCAACTAATTAAGATTTTATTCTTAATGTTTTATTAAAAAAAAACATTTTATAGAAAAAGTTATTTCTTAGATAAAAGTATTGGAGTTAAATATTAATATTAGAAAATTTCTTCATTAACATAACAATTAATAATGTTAAAAAACATAAAAAAATTAACTATTCTTATAATTGAGTCTTTGGAATATATACACAAGGGAGGGGTATACAGTGATAGTGGCTATTGGAAACCGCAAACATTGTTCTTAGCATTAGCAGGCAAATGTGGAAACAAAAATGCTCAAAAGGCAGGACAAAATATCGCGATACGTTCCCAACACAACACTGGACAAAGAATTCAAATTATGATATTAATTATTTTTTATTGAAAAAAATAATAATTAAAAACGGTAACCAACGCATATGATAGTGAATACTATGTGTTAACTAATTGTTTGTTATGTGACCTAACTGTTTGTAATTGGAGGAAAGCGGCGACATTGGATAAGATTGTCCAAATGAATAGTCAGCATGTTCTTATCCATGACTTGTTCGTATCGTATCTAATATAGTATTTACCATGAAGCAAATTAACTTTGTCTAACCCATGAAAGTTCATGTCTGCTGAAAAAAATGTCTTGTTATACAATATTTTAACACTGTTGCTCTCGTTTGCATAACTGATGATGTTCTGCGCAGATAGATACGGTGAAGAGACACAGTCGTCTGTTGCACTTTTTTTATTCCTTCAAAATATACTCAACAACTTGATAGTGGAGATAAATATACAAAAGGATTGTCACTAGCAATAGACATATCAGCACCTACCTAAAATGAAAGATAAAGATTGAATAAAAAAGATAAAAGTCATTTTTTTTAATTTTATTTTAGTTTAGATAAATATAAATTTTAATTTATTTTTAAAAAGCGTTATTTGATGCATCACTTTAAGTTGGAAATGGGCCTAGCTTTGTACTGCAATTGAATTGGGCCTTAATCACACCTCTGAAGGCAGCATGAATCTCTATCAAGTATATTTTAGAAAATCGATAGAGTGTGTGAGAGAGAATTAAGGCTTTATAAAATGGAAGACCAGAAAAATATGTTTCTGACCCGTGAAGATTTCTTCAAGCGGTAAAAGCCGTTTCATGATTTCTAGAAATGTATTTGTCAGATTTTCCTTGCCTTCTCCACCTCACTTTCACATGATTCCCACCGTCAATCGTTAACGTAAAGATAATTGGTTTGTGAAAAAGATTAGAAAAAAAGAAGTAGAAAATAATCCACTTTTTAGAGTGATTTGGTGAAAGAGAAAATAAAATGAGAAGAAAATTAGTTATGGAGACACAAATGGACAACAAGTACAAATGGGGTGAACATTCCATGTTCATGGTTAACCATCCCACACCTATTAATCTAAATAAGATGGACGGGAACTATATTAAATTGTCATGCCAATCAATTAGTATCTTCTATTTTCTTTTTATCATATTCGTGTGAATATGTAAGAATATATTTAGAGAGAGTTGTTGATAAAAAATATATTTTTTATAAAATTTAAAAAAACATATTTAAAGTTTAAAAAATTATCTAAAGAACTTTTTAATTTATGTTGTGTCGATAGCTTTTAAAATGTATAAGTCACATAGGTCATTTTTCTCTTAATTTTAAAAGAATTATACTTAACATAATTATATTGAAAAATATAGAATAAAAATTTATAATAACATATACTTTTAAGAATGATTTTATTTTAATAAAAGTTTTTTAACTAAATTTTTAATTTTTTTTAATTTTATAAAAAAAATTAAATACTTATCATATTATATAATTTCTACCCTAAAAAATTACTTATTTTTCAATTTATTTGGTCTCTCCAATGTTTTTAACTTGTTTTATTTTTTATTCTTGTTCAAATTAAAAATTAAGTTTTTTTTTTTATTTTTTTTAATTTTAGATTTTTTTTCTTTCGTTCGTCCTTAATCTAGATGGTTTTTTAAAACATAATTATATTTATAATAAATTAAGTTTAATATTTTAATATATTTTTATAATTATTATTAATTAAATATATATTTTTTAATTTATTATATTTATGTTAAAATATATATATATATATATATATATATATATATTTTTAATCATTTTTATATAAAATACTTATAATATTATTATTATATATTTAAACATTTAATTATATATAAATTATTTTTTTTAAATTGTCATTTAAAAATATAAAATATATAATTTATAAGAAAATATTTAATAAGTTAATTTTTATTTAATTAATTTTAAATAATAAAAATTTTAATTATTAATTTTTTTTATTTTTTTAAATATAATTATTTTATTAAGAGAAAATTTGATAAATAACAAATAAAAAAAATATGTTATAATAAAATATAAAAATATAAATTATAAATAAAATAATATTAATTACTATTAATATTTTTTTAAATATTTAAAATATAAAAAAAAGTTGTGATATGTCAAATTGGTTAAAAAGATTGAAAAAAAAATTAAAAAAATATAAATAAGTAAAAAATAATAATATAACAAATTAATTGATATAAAAATTAAAAAAAAATACAAAGTCAGGACAATGTAAGATAAAATTTGGTCCTCACCTTTTAAAATGAAAAAAACATGCTATATTCTTATTATTTATCTTTAATTATTTTAAAGTCAAAAAATATGAAAGTAATCAATCATTTTAAAAATGATAATTTGTAATCTAATAAAAAAATAGTGTTTTTAATTATTTCAACTAATAAAAAGACATTTAAAAAATTTCTTTAAGTAAAAATAAAAATAAAAATATGAAAATGAATATGTCTTTCTTGCCTATCAATTCAATTTTTTCTCAATGAAAAGTTAGAGGTTTAACTGTCTTCTTAGTTTACCACAAAGGAATTCTAAATTGACAAGAAAAAAAAAGTATTTAACTTCGGGTGATGTAAGTAATTGGAAAGGTGGTTTAGTTGGGTGTGAAAAAAATAAAGTTGGGTATTATTGTTTAAAAAAAAAAAAAAAAATCGCGGTTTTGTGGTAAAGCGTGTGTTACAGGTTTTGCAGTTGGTAACAAAGAAGAAACCCTAGCACGACGGAAAAAAAAAATCAATCCGAATTCGTGAGAATTAAGTGGCAGCAATAGGAATCAATTCTGCGGATACATGCAATCACAGTGATGGCAACTCTTCCGACCGAAGTAATCACCGAAATCTTGTCCCGTCTGCCGGTGAAGTCAGTGTTGCGGCTGCGCTCCACCTGCAAGTGGTGGCGGACGCTCATCGACACAACCCACTTCATCCTCTTCCACCTCAGAAAATCCCACACCTCTCTCATTCTCCGTCACCGCTCACACCTCTACACCCTCGACCTTCAATCCCTCGACAAACCCCTCGAAATCACTCACCCTCTCATGTGCTACAGCAATAACATCAAGGTCCTCGGTTCCTGCAACGGCCTCCTCTGCATATCCAACGTCGCCGACGACATCGCCCTATGGAACCCTTACCTCCGCAAGCACCGGATTCTCCCCACCGACCGCTTCCACCGCCCCAACTCCACCCTCTTCGCGGCTCGCGTCCACGGCTTCGGCCACGACGATGCCTCCAACGACTACAAGCTCGTCAGCATTACCTACTTTGTCGATCTTCACAACCGCACATTCGATTCCCAGGTCCAACTCTACACTCTCAAATCTGACGCCTGGAGGAATCTCCCAAGCATGCCCTACGCCCTCTGCTGCGCGCGAACCATGGGCGTCTTCGTCGGCGGTGCCCTCCACTGGGTCGTCACTCGCAAACTCGAACCGGAGCAGCCCGATCTCATCGTCGCCTTTGACCTCACGCACGATAGCTTCCGTGAAGTTCAGCTCCCTGTAACCGTTAAGGGAAATTTCGACATGGAAGTGACTCTGTTGGGAGGGTGTCTCTGCGTGGTGGAGAATAGGGGAAGCGGATTTGACGTTTGGGTTATGAGAATGTACGGATACGCAGATTCATGGGAGAAACTGTTTACCTTAACGCAGGACCATTTTCACATTGGATCTCCAAAATTAAAATCCTTGAGGCCTTTGCTTTTGGATGGGGACAGGGTTTTGCTTGAACAGAACCGTAGCAAGCTCTGTTGGTATAACGGCAAAAGTGGCGATGTGAGTTTCGTTAGAATACCCGGAGTTGGAAACTCCATTGAAGGCACGGTTTGCGTTGGAAGCCTTGTCCCACCCGCTCTACTGAGCTTCCGTGATGAGAGCCAGAAGCAGAGACTGGGCCACCAGAAGTGTAGGAAGAAAAGGTACCAAATGCTCATTTTTTCTTTTCTCAAACAAAATAAATCGCTCTCTATTGTCAACTTCAGAAACGAGGGACGCTGGATTTTTTTTTTTGTTTTTTTTGTTTTTTTAATTTTGATGTTAGTATTTATTGCCTCTGTGGTTGCCTCTGTCTAGTAGTGAGTTGACTATAACTTGAACCAAGTCCACCCCTCATGGAAAGTGAAACTATTGACAAAGTTATGAAGTTTTAGTGTCGGATTTGATGTTTATGACTATGGGTAACTTTCCTCAATTTACAGGTAGGGTGGTTCTATTTAAATTAAATTGCACCACGCATGATAGTGTTGTCCTCTTTGTTTGAATTATTTTTCAAGGTTGGACTGTGGATGGACTTTTAAAATTCACCATAAGCATCTCACCACGTTGGTACGTATGTATGTATGTATGTATGTATTGTATCGTAAAAAAAACTGAGGAGAGTCTCCTGAAATCTTTGTCTAGTAGTGGAATTACCCTAAAGTTTAATCTTTTTCACTCATGGATCAGCGGGCCAGTTTTGATTTTTCAACGCACCTCGTCTTTCTGTGATGTTGTCGTACTTACTTCAGCTTTTTCGCAGGGATGACTTCCTGTCTAAGGGGTTCAAATTGACGTTGTAAGCGAGCAAAAGAAGAGGTCACGGTCTACAGCAAAAACAGGTTTGTCCTGTGAATTGAGTTGTCTCATGTTCTGAAATTAGTCCCCCTGGTTCATGGGACAGTTGGAATGATCAGTAAGAAAACCACTCTTTTTTATGTTAATTTTTGGGACTTTCAATTCCCTCCCTATACTGCCTTGAGTTTGCTCATGTTGTTTTTCTCAGGATTGAAGAGGATCCAAAGTGCTCAAGTTCAGAGTGTTCAATATCAAGAAAAACGATACATCAAATTACAACCTGTTCATACCAACAAGGAGAAAGAAAATCCACCATCGGCCGTTTAGTTTGTAATAAGTTTATAACTATACACTCCTAGGCTACTACAAACTTGAGTTCGTTGCTCCATCGGGTGGGGGGTATGGATCTGTGTATTTTAATGGTTGAAGCCACCCATATACAAGCCACTGTAATAGGTAAATCTCACTATACAGTTTTACATGAATCGTTGTCTGTTAGAAGAAAGTGAGTTTTGTTCGCTTGATCGACAAGTGAATCGGACGGAACCCTGGGATTTCGTTATCTGGATTAAGTCAAAGATGCCTTATACTTATAATCAAATTACTGAAAAATTAAGCAGATTTTTAAGATTTACTGAAATTATTTTGTTTTGAAAAACCATGATGAATTTGGGAGTGAGGAATGAGGGATATCTGCAAGAGAACGAATATTTAAAACCGTGTAACGAAGTGGGCGAATAAATTGCAGAGTTCAATTTTTTGGGATGCAAAAAGACATACTTTATTGGATGCAAGATTTTAAAGTTTAAATATCCACTATTGGTAGTTTATTCTATCAAATGTGAGATGTCATTTAATTTAAGTAGCTTGTTTTTATTTAATTTTATCATTGCTTTAACTAATTTATTCTAGTTAATGTTGCCATTTTCTTTAAGTATATTATTTACAACTATTAATAATAAGATATTTTTTAACTATGTTGTTGTGTATATATTTTTTTTACATTTTATTTCCATGCATGGGTAACTTTTCGTTTATTCTGTTTCTGTTACTATTTTTATATATTTGCCATTTGTTTTTTATTATAAATAATTATAGTAGCTCATTTTTTTTTAAATATTAACTCATTTTTATTGTTTAAAAAATGTCAGGCGTAATTATGCCTGTATTTCCATTAGTTTTATGTAATGAGATTCTTTATATATATATATATATATATATATATATATATATATATATATATATATATATATATATAAATTTTACTTATTATGAATATTTAGCTTGTATCTTAATCTTAAATGTAAGTTTTTTTAGTTCAACTTCCCATAAAAACATAAATTATTAAAATTTAAACATGAAGTAACGTTTCAGCAATAAATACGAAATTATTAGTATTATATAAAATAGATTATTTTAAGACTTAAATGATTTAATCTAAAGAATTAAAAATTAAATGTATATTTATTGGATTGAGTTTGGATAAAAGTCATCAATCACGTTGACTTAGATGACTTAGATCGAATTTCTATATTCTACATATTATTTTTATATTTAATCAATTTCGGTAATTTTTTTATTATATTGGATTAAATTGAGTATATTGTGTGTTTTTTTAATATTTATGATTTTAAAATATATTTTTATAATTTTAAAATATTTTTTAAATGGATTATATTATTTAATAATTAGAAAAAATAATATTGTAAAAATATAATTATCTAATAAAATAATTAAATAAATTAAATATTAGTTAATGTAGAAAAATCATCATCAAATTAATTAATAAAAAGTTAAATTGACTTAATCATAAAAAGTTCATTTAATTTATCTGAATTAAATAAAATATTTGAGGTATCCTATTAAAACAAGTATTCCTAATGGCATGATAGGTATAATGTAAACGCAGAGGAGTTGGATTGGAAATTCCATGTGATGTGTACTAACAACACACTGAATTTATGTCAGCGATGATGAAGGGAAAAAGGCGTACACTAATATCACCTTTTCAACGCTTTTTAACTAAAAAAATATCATTCTTCTTTATTTTACGTCGACATTGATTAAAGGGTTGTTACGTGATTTTTATTTATTTTTCGTTAATTCCAATTTTTTATAACAATTTCTAATATATGTGATACTGTTTATGATTCTTTTTCATCTCCCTCTTTTATTTCTGACCTTTTTTTTATTAAAACATATTTATTTCCTGAAATAATTCTTTGAATTTATCTAGCAGTCATATACTTAATATGATGGATTACTTTCTCTCCTCAAAATAGATGAGGTAAAAAAAAAATAGATATAAAGAGTTTTTAGTAAAAGTATTTTAAAAATAAATATAAATATTTTATTATTAGTTTCATTTTTTTAGAGTTATTTATATAAATACTTTTTTAATTTTAAATAACTCAAATATAATAATTATAAAAAGAAAAAATATTTTTATTCCTATCTAATTTTTGTTATTAACTCTTATCAGAAATTATTATTTTTAAAATAAAAATAATATTATTTTATTAATATATATATATATATATATATATATATATATTATAAATTAATTTAATAAAATATTTTTTTAAAAGTAAATATTAAAATAAATTTTTAATAAATACTTATTTCAAAATTTTATGATTAAGATTAATTACTGTTTCAAATTAATAAATTACTAAATAAATAATAATAATAATAATAATGAAAATTAAATCATTACATCTAAAATAAAAACTTATTTTATTAACTAAAATTATTTATTTTGGTATTAATATATATATATATATAATTTTTAATTAGAATTTTTAGTCTATTAGTATAATATAAGATTAAATTAGGTTAAAATTATAATTTATTTTAAAATATAGGTCCATATGTCAAACTAAACTAGATTAAATCATATCTTAACCGTTTTGTGTGTGTCCATTTAAACATTTAGAAATAAAATTTAGTTTATAAATTAATTTATTATCTTTAAATAATTAAATTTTAATTAAATTAGTATAAAATTGAATAAATTAGTGTATAACTAGTAAAATCAAGAAAGTTAATTAAATTTTTGGTTGAACCAATTTTGATAGAAAAAATAATGATTAAAATTTATAAATTTTTTAATAGATATATTTTTATAAAATATATAATAATTTTAGTTGTTTTTCTTCTTTTATCTGTCTAATTCCCATCAACTTTAAATTTAATATTTATTTTACTATATTTTCACATCACATTTTTTGTATGATTATCAATTATATATTCTTTTATGTATTTCATATATTTTTTTATTATAAAAATTGTGATAGTAATTTTAGTATTATTATAATTATTATTTTTTATTTACAACAATTTTTTTTATTAATCATCTTATTATATTATTGTAGGTTAAAATAATTATTTTGTTAAAATTATGGGTCATATAATATATTTTTTTTATTTTCTCATTTAGAGTTTTTAAAACAATAATAAAATTAATTTGAAAAACAACAAAATCATGGCTGTGATGAAATCTTTTCTTTGATAAGAAGCTTACGCTTATCAAATTTGTTGAATATTATTTATAAATGAAATATATTGTAGGTGTATATTAATAGAAATTCTAATTATATAAAATTAATAAAAGTAGAGATAATTTAAATTTTTGGTTGCAGATTTATACAAAATTAGAAAACCAATGGTTTATAGGATATTCGATATAGTTAATATAATTTACGGACTGAATTACTTAAAATTATTCTAATTTAACTCAAAATTCAATACAGTGTAGATTTCAACGAAAGATTGTTCTTATTTTATTTTTATATTTAATATAATCGGAAACATTTAAGATAAGTTACAAGAATAATAAAAGAACTGTAAAAGTAAATTATTGAAAAATAAATGTGCAGGAAATCAAATAATATAAAAATAAATTTAACTCATTACCAAGGATAAAAAAGAAATTAATAAAAAAAATCAACTAAAGTAGCGATCCAAATTGTAAAAAATTATATTAAAAATATTTGTTCCAGCGTTTTTCAGAATGTAAGTTGTACAATTTGACAATCACTCCTAATTATCTTTATTTTATCCTATATATATTATTTTTATTATAATCGCTAAAACAACCATAAAAATAATAAAATAAAAATTACAAATTAAAATATTTCAAACAATCATTCTCTTGTAACTACTTCACCTTGTTGATATACGTTTTACTTGAAACTTGCATATTCTATGGAACTTGTTGCTTAACCGTCTTCGTCAGTCTTTCGATGTACCACTGGAAGATTCTTCCCTATAACTTTCTCTTGATATATTTGTGTTCATGTTATCCATTATTTAAGTCTTCGATTTCTAATTTTTTGTCGATGTTTTTCACTTTTAATTTATCGATTCCCAATTTGTCGATATTTTATCATTTTTCAAAAAATTCAACATTAACTACTTTTTTTGCCTCTATATGCCTTTCTCGATTTCTTCCTTCATTCCTTCCAACCATTCGATGCCCAATCAGGCTCGATCCATTCTTTCGATCTCTTTATAACTTTTAGACTTAACAAAATGTTCAATAAGAGAATACTTCTATAAATCCTCAATGAGTACATGTATTCTCTCGATACTAACTTCAAATATTTTATCCTTACTTTATCAAAAAGTTTTTTCTTATCCCATGTTTTCATTATTATTTTCATTTCTCTCATAAATGCAAAATTCTCGTCACAAATGCAACTATCTATACATTCACTCCTTCATCTGTCATTGGTTCAATTTTATTCCAAAATATTTGATTTATTTAGGTATAGGCCTATACCAAACCCATTATCACTAGACTTCCCGGGAAAACATCCTTTCTTTCAAAACATCAAAACTATTCATCTTCCTCATCCTTACTCACTTTTCTACTTTACAAACTGTTCCTTAAAAATCTTCTCCACTGCTTCATTCTCACATCACCTCTATCGTTCTTAGCTTTCCAATTATATATTTCCCTCATAAATGGCTTCATCATCGATTATTCACACACCTCCAATGTTCAACCTATTAACACTCAATTTGTTGAAATAAATAAAAAAACCTTTGCACCAGTCGTCGGACTATTCGAAGAAACTTAAAAATCTACTATACTCAGATATTAATTCCATATTCAGTAGGAAGTGTCCCATTAGCCTTTGGAGGACCATTGATACTCGACCTTGAAGAACCCACTGACTTTCCTTCTGCCAAAGTAAGATAAACTTTCTCTCTCAAACATCCAAATTGTATCACTTTGATCCTCCCCAGAAAAAACCAACCTACATCAAATGACTTGACAGAATTGAGCCTCAGTTCAAATATCATTGGAGAAACATAGGTATATATGACATTCTCTATCTCTCCAAACTCGACATAAGTTACCTTGATATGTCAATGTTTTTATCAGCTACCCACCTTTGGAATAAATACCTTAATGTATTAGAGCTTCCTTGTGGGTCAGTCTCTCCCACTCTTTTAGATGTAACGATAATTACAGGTCTTAAACCTATTGGAGAAAAATATCATATTCATGCCTTCCCATCCGATAAATGAATCGAATCCAAAATTCGATGGAACAAAAAAGTATATGGTCATCAAATTTGGGAGAAGCAATTGATCTTTACATCGCTTTTAACATTTATGCCATCAAATTTGCATTCAAGAATGGTGGGCTAAGATTATGCATTTCAGATTTGAAGATTTTTACATCTTTATTTTGAAACGCAAATAAGATATGTTTCTTTACTAAAACTATAAAGGAAACAAGATTTTTTGAATTCATATCTTCTTAATATCAAGAAGATAGTTGATACCTTGACATTAGTTTATTCACTTATTGATCTTGCCAAACATATTTAGATTATCCTTGATGGTCTAGTAATGAGTATAATTTTTTTGTTACTTCCATCATTTCAAGAACTGACCCATATTTTGTGACAAATAGAAACTATGTTAATCACTATAGAGAATGTGCTAGATGAATAAAAACAAGAACAAGAATTCTTGAATTTCCAAGCAAATTATATTCATTTAAGGATGCTTTTGAGGAAAATGATAGTGATATTTTAAAGGTCACGATCATCAAAACAGTAGAAGAAAAAATAAAGAAAATTTTAGAGGTGATAGGGATTTTAGAGGAGGACTATGACAAGAAAAGTAACTATAATAAATGAATGTGTCAATTATGCAATAAGTAAGGTCATATAGCCTTTAACTATTCTCACATATTTAATCCCTAATGTTAAGACTAATGTTAAGACAAAGTTCAATAGGTCTCCAACAATTCAGAAATATAACAAAAAACAATGGTTACAAAAGAAAATCTCGATGATCAATCCAATATTTCACCCTTTATAATAGTTCCAGCTACCTTTTATTAACTAGTTTGGTATTGTGATAGAGGAGTTATCAATCATAAAAGCCAATGCATCAAACATGACAAGGAAGTCAACCTATACGAGAGTAAAAACTAAAAAATGGCTAATGGAGATTTTGCATCCATTCAAAGTATAGGTCATTCCTATCTTTATTCTTTGAACTCAAATAAACCTCTTTTCTTAACAAATTTGCTACACATTCCTTCAATATCTAAGAACTTGATCAGGGTATCTCAATTTTGTAAAGATAATAATGTGAAATTTGAATTTACCGTTAGTAATTGTTGTGTCAAAATATCAAGAAACTAAGAACGATTTTTTAGAAGGATATTTCACAAAATAACTATGGTTTTTTCTAACATTTGTATAAGCTCTCAGTTTGTAATTTTGTTATACCAAAAAAAAAAATCTAAATAGTATTCATAGTATTAGTGATTTGGCTAATAATAAGTGTGATTTGTGTAGGATGTGGTATGCAAACAAGGACATGCAAATACAAAATTGTAGATGAGGTTATGAACACACATGGAGTTTTTTTTTTTTTTTCTAAAAATTCTATCTTTTATTTATACAACTTATTCTACTTAGGAAAGTCACATAAACAGCCATTTTATTATTTAAATATTGTTTACAGTACTGGTCCTTTACATCTTATATACATATGGGGACTTTGCACCGATTCCTTCTTCATCTTTCATATACCATATAGAATTTATTGATTTCTAATAAAAATCAAATAATGCTTCATTAATGTTAGTAATATGATTGAAAATAAACTTAATTCCAAAATTAAGTATATACAAAATGATGGAACACTTGAGAACAAAAAATTAAATGATCATGATATTTTACATAAAATAAGTTGTGTATATGCACATGAGCAAAATGAAAGTACAAAAAGAAAGCATAGTTATATAGTTAATATGAGATTGTCTCTTTTAGCTAATGTATATCTGTCAGTATTGGAGAAAAACCTTTTATGATAATGTCATTTATATAATTAATAGACTACAATACCTATTATGTAATTAATTTCATCATTTGAATTTTTTTTTCTCTTGAATTCAACCATCTTAAGGTGTTTTGGTGTGCTTATTGCCCTTACTTCATATTATACAACAAAGCTAAATTTGATTTTAGATATGAAGAATACATTCATTAGTTAAAAACCTTCGCTCTTAAAAAAAACAAAAAAACTTTATTTATAAACATATTTTCATTGATACAATTCTCATTCTTCATCTTCTTCTATAACATAAATTATATAAATACATATGATATGTATTTTAGGTTGTTATTATCTTTATCTTTTTATTTAATATATGTTACTTTTGAATATTTTCATTTATCTTAATTTACTTTTAGTTAATTTTTATCATATTAATTATTTATTAGAAATATTTAAAAATTCTTATATATTAATAACTTTAAAAACTTTGGAAAGGTTCAACTTTGATTATCAAGGAAAAAAGAGAAGGAGAAAAAAAAACTATTTCTTGTTTTATCTATCAAAAAAAGAATGAAAAAACAATAAAAGATTGATTACGATTTCCTCACAAATATTTTCATAAAGCAGATGATAATTTTTTTAAAATAAAATATTTTTTATAGAAAATATACAATATTATTCTTATTAAATTTTTAATGATTTAAGAAATTTAATATTTAAGTAAAATATATATTACACTATTAATTTTTAAATTTTTATAATAATATTTTTTTATCAAACCGACTTTAATCCCTATCATTTCTATATAATTCATGATTTATAAGGATGGTTATTAATTTATACGAAAAGTACTATTTTGTAACAAAAGCATTATATGATTTGTATACCAAGGAGATGGTTCAATACTCTCCAAAAATGGTATATTGTATATATTTTATTGATAAAGGGAATTATTTTGTATAATAGTTTATTTATATATTTCCTTCTGTTTTGATATTTTATATTATATATTTTTATTTTGTAATTTTATCTATACTTATTTTTAATTTAAAATGTATGTTTCTGCTAATAAATATTATTGTTTTAATATTTGAATATAATGATATTTCTATTAAGCTTTTATTTGTTGTAATTTTGTTGGTAATATTTTTGACATTTGACAGAGGCGAGAAACAGTAGAAGACAGAAAAAGTTAATATATATAATTGATTGTTTTAGTATGAGAAAAAAAAAAAAAAGTCTGACAGCTTCTATGCTAAGTATGCAGATACATTCTCTCTCAAGAGTCAGATTAATATATAAATAAGAAATCTTTATTGCATAACTTTTTGATGCAGAAATTCCAAATAAGCATCCGCTGCCTCCAAAAGCCAGAGGGTCCCACCTTCACCTTATTCGTGAAAAGAGAAGCGTGAGATGCACCGTTGGATAGTTCCAAGCATTTGCGCCTCACCATAGCCCAACACAGCACAGCGGAACACGACACCGTTTTGCAGGCAATTGAAAACACACGTAGTGGTCGTATATAAAGAAGCAGGAAGGGGATTAAAACAAGAAGACAGAACGACGCTAAAACAACGAAACGAACCGAACCGAACCAAAACCCAAATTCTCTTCTCCGCACACAGTGCTTCGTCTCCGGCTCGGCTTGGCTCGGCTAACCGCAGGACGCACCGGTGCGACGTCGTTAGTGGATGGGCTTTTGGACTTTTCACTCGGCTTGTCTCTGACACAGCCACTTGGGGCGGCGCCTCCTAAATGTCTATAATTGAAACCCCCGCCGTCCACCACCTCAGCGGGGGCGCCTCCGATCACCATCGTCACTCATCCAAACGCAAACTCGAGGATGAAGATGACGGAGATTTCTCGGACTTAGTCTGTGTGAGGATGCGGAAAGAGGAGGCGGTGAATTCGTGGTGTGGCTCCTCCACCACCGCCGGCAGCGGCTGCTCCTCCGCAGCCGCCCCCTTGCCGAAGCAGCGATCTCACATCCAGTTCTTTGTGCGAATGATGTCTGCCGGGAACACGATTGTGATGCAGGCCTTCGCCGAAGACAGCGTGAAATCGATTCACGAGCGTATCCAAAGCATGAAGGGAATCCCGGTGTTTGAACAGAGGCTAATTTATCGTGGGAAGCAGCTTCAGTGGGAGCAGACTCTCGCCGAGTGTTCCATTCAAAACGACGCCAATCTTCAACTCGTTGGTCGTATGCGCAGTACTGAACACCCTCAAGCATGGCAAATTATCAACGACATGGTTTCCCTCGTGTATCGACTCTGCTGTGGCGAGGCTATTCATGATTCCTTGAAGACTATAAAGGGATTAATAACCAGTTACTTGAACATGACTCCGAGGATTGACAACGAATCTGCTTCTGGGTATTTTCAGATTTTCATGTCTTCTTCTGCTCCTGACGTGCTTGTTATGCTCTATGTGTCCCCCTATGCAGGAAACAAGGAATCTGCTGATTCTACTGTTAGGCACTTTTTGAGATCTTGCCCGAATACCTTGTCTAAGGCATTGCACGGGCAGTGTGCGTGTGTGGTGTTGGAATTTTGTAAACTGCTTAGGAGAGTGGGAAGTAATGATCCCCTATATCTTTTTTGTCGGAGTACCTTTGGGTCCTTGTTAGAAACTGCTGGGGTTTCCTTTGCTGGTTCTGATAATGCTAAGGGGTTGGTTATGATTAAGGACATTTTCCCCTTTGTTTTTGAGCTTGCTAATAGCTTGTTGAGGGACTTGGACTTGAGTATGGAATCCCACACGGCCGTGGGACCTTTGTCGAGTGATGTTGAGGATTTTACTGCCTTCTTAGTTCCTTTGAGGACTGGAATTAAGGAGCAACAAGCTCTCAACGGTTCTTTGTCTCAAGGCAAAAGCAATAAGGATCTCTTGCACGCGAAAGAGATTGAACACCTTCATTGTTTATACGTCCAGTTATTGAGCAAAATCGACCAGTGCCTTCAAAAAGTGGACCAGAGCTTGGCTGGCCAGGAAGTGATGGAAGGGGATAATCTTTATCCTGCGTGGTCTCATTATCTTTCCATCTTGAAGGAGTTGTATCAAATTTCTAAGCTTTATGATGGTGCTGAAGAAAAGCTTTGGAGTGTTTTGAAGCGACACAGAAGTGTGCTGTGTTTGTTGATTGTTCGATATGCAAAGAGAACTGATGAGCATCAGTGGATATTGGAGCATAGGTATGTGACTAATTTTGAGTCTAGAAGGCATTTGGCCATGATGATGTTCCCAGAAGTCAAAGAAGACTATGAAGAATTGCACGAAATGCTTATTGACAGATCTCAGTTGTTGGCTGAGTCTTTTGAATACATAGCACGTGCTGAGCCTGAATCTCTGCATGCTGGCTTATTTATGGAATTCAAAAATGAGGAAGCTACTGGCCCAGGTGTACTAAGGGAGTGGTTTCTACTGGTATGTCAAGCAATATTCAATCCGCAAAATGCTCTTTTTGTGGCATGCCCGAATGATCGAAGGAGATTTTTCCCTAATCCTGGTAAGTTTCTCATAAAATTCTGACTGGATTCTTTTTATTTTCAATCACTTGGCTGTTTATAATGCATTTGGAGTGCTTGTGAATAGAAAATGTTGGACCTGGGCTTGAATTCTTCACATGAAAACACTTGTACAGTGTTTACAAAATGACCTTTATTATTATAAAATTTCTTGAGGCTATCTTTATTTATATAATGTTCCCTGTGCTTACTCCGCATGGTTTAGTGGAAGGCAGGTCATTTATTTGTGAATCTTTAGTCATTGGTTTTTCTTAAATGAAATGTGCTCCTATTTGATGAAATCCTTTGGACGATCTCCATTGTATTTTAAAGTATGCCCACTATGCTTCAATTTATTTGATTGTGCAGGGGACTATACTAAAAAAAGTGGACTTTGTTACAAATTGGATATTACATGACATAGTTAATGTCTTAAAACACTAGACATTGAGAAAACACATGTGAGAATAGGCCTTATTAAAAAGCTGTTTTGAATTGTACCTATTTTCACCTAGAGGTGCCTTTACTTGTTTTACACTTTTTTCTTTCATTGATTGTATCTCTACTTTTTTTTTTCATATATAAATAATAGAACCTAATGAGAGAAAGATTCAAGTTGATATTAGAGGGGGTTGATCCCTCTCTGCTAGTCCTTGTCTTGTCTGGTGAAGAAAATTTCGTATGGTCGATGTTTGATGCCATCCACCACCATTTGTCAATGCGACCGTTGCAATTTGCTTCCGCAACCACCAAATCTAGAGCATCTATCTGATCATCGCTCCCAAAGCCAAACACTACCACTGTTATGGAATGGTTTGTCAATAGTTAGTTGGTATAGTAGCCACTGGGGAAGGAGTTAGTTTTTGTTATAACGATTTAAATAGCAACTATATATTAAGATAGTTGCTACTGTTGCAAACAGGGTTTTTTGTAATTGATCTCATTCACATTCTTTATCTTTTTTTCTGGAATAATATTTGGTTTGAGATTATTCTTGGTTCACTCCCCTGCGATTTTGCAATTCTCCGAGTTGTAATCCTAGAATTACTATGTTTACATTAATTGGTATTAGTCACTTTGGTCCAATTGGGTTTGTAAATGGCAGAGGCTACGCAAAACGCTACAGCTAATATAGGCTTGGAAGAACATGTGAGTTCCAGGTTGAATCAAGATTGGTGGAGCTAGTAGGATCAATAAACTTTGGCAAAATCTTTTAAAGATCAAATTCAAGAACTGTTGAAGCTTCAGGTGGAGGAGGTAGGTATCAATGTTATTCTCATGAAACCAAGAGGGTACTACATCTCTCACGTGTCACATCTTTTGAACAAACTCTTTTATTCTCTCCTACATAGAATGATCCAACAAGTTAAGTCCTTTGTTCCCCCTCTTTTTGAGAATCCAAATCCTAACTTGAGTCCACCCAAGCTATTATCATCACCTTTGATTACCTACCAAACTAGGCCACAAATGACTAGTCCAATGCTCTAAGGAGAGTCTTCATTAGCTCCTTCTCAATCATCACTCAATACTACTACTCTTGATAATGAAGATCCAAGCTGGTCCATTGTTATCTTTAAAGATACTTGTTCTATCCATAATACACTTCCTATTTAAATTTTTGTAGTTATTACAGATTTCTCCCTCTTACTTTTCTTTTATTTCATCTGTTTTGTTGATTCCAGTTTTTAAAATTTTGAATGAAACACTTGATTTCTCTGGTTGATAACAAGCCATGGTTGCTGAAATATAGGCTCCTGAACATAATAGCACATGAGAGTTAGTTTCTCTTCCATCTGGGGAAGAAGACAGTTGGAGGTTTATGTCATTAAAGTTGGACTCAATGGTGAAGTTAATCACCTCACCTAAATTGGTGGCCAAAGGATACAATTGTCTATGGTCTTGTTTATAATGATACTCTTTACTGTGGCCAAAATGACTATTGTTCGTCTCTTCTTTACCATAGCAGTTGATCATCATTTCCATTAATTGGATATTAAAAATGTTTTTCTTTATAGTGATTTAGAGGAGGAAGTTTATATGGGGCAACCTCTTGCATTTGTAGCTTAGAGCGAGTCTTGTTTGGTTTGTAAATTGTGGCACTTTCTCTATGGTCTCAAGCAATCTCCACAAGCTTGGTTTTGAAATTTCAATCATATTGTTTATACCTTTGGGTTGAAACTCAATAAGGCAGATAATTCGGTTTTTTACGGTCATGCCTCCCATGCAAAATGTGTTTACTTAATTGTATATGTAGATGATGTAATTATTGCATGGAATGATGGTGCTAGAATCTCTTAGCTAAAGAAACATTTATGCAATCACTTCCAAACCAAAGATCTTGGTTGTCTTCAATACTTTTTGGGCATTGAAATGGTTCAATTAAAGGAAGATATTGTAATTTCTCCAAGGAAATATGCTCTAGATATCTTGAAAGAGATAATAGGTATGATTGATTTTAGATTAGGATGAACCTTTCTTTGAAATATATTGAAGACTTATTGGAAAACTTATTTATCTTACTATTATTGAACTTGATCTCTCTTTTTTAGTTTGTGTTAATAGTTAGTTTATGCATATTCCTTGTTACTTATTGGTAGGAGTGTCAAAGTGAACCAACCCAACTCACACGGGTTGACTCACCATGGGCTGAGCTGAAAATAGGTGAACTCAAGTCGACTTACTTTTATGACGAGCTAGAAATTTCACAACCCACTACGGGTTGGTGGGCTAGGTGGGTTGACTCGTTAACCCGTATTTATTTTTTGTTGTTCAATTTTTTTTTTTCTAATAAGCACGACTGAATCGTGGGACTAGGACAAACACTGTGACGCGATTGAAACATGACAAACATTATGGCGGGACTAAACACAAAGTGGTGAGATGGCACGACAAACGTAATGGTGTGGCAAACGCAGTGGTGCCACAAATACTATGGTGCGACTAAAATGCAGTGACGTGGTGACACGACAACGCTGTGACGCAACTGAAACACGACAAATGTTATCGCGCGACTGAAACGAGGTGACACGATGAACACAACAAACCCGGTGGCACAATGGTGCGGCAGACGGATGGCAAGCGGTCTAGGTGTAGTGGCGAACGGGGTGGTGCGGTGAACAATTGATGACAAGCTTGAGTGAGGGTTTGATTTATAGTAATGACGTGGAGTAGAGGTGGAAAGACAGGATAACATTAATTAAGGTTACTAAATTATTATAATTATTTTTAAAATTTAAAATGAATGGCGGGTTGCGAGTCAACTTAGCAGAACCCTACTCGAACCCATTTAACCCCGTGGGTTAAGTGAGCCGGATTCATTTTTAGCCTAGTATCGGTATAAATGAAAAAAATTGAACCCAATCCGGTTCGAAACAGTGGTAGGCTGGGTTGGCTCACGGGTTCCAACCCATATTGACACTCCTAATTATTGGAATGTTGTTATTCATATCCTAAGATACCTGAACAAGTGTGCTATATGAAGATAAAGGGAATAACTTTTGTGAGATTCAACAAATGGATATGTTGTTGTCAAAGGAAATTTTTAGTGAGCTTGTAGGATCTAATAATCAAATTACAGGGTGTTAACAATATCCTTGAGGACCTCGTATTCAATTTATATGTCTCAAGCTTGACATATTTGATATGTATACTCCAGCTTTAGAGGGAGTATTAGAATAGGTTTTATAAGAAAATTGTTTTGAATTGTATCTATCTACACCTAGGGTTGCCTTTACTTGTTTTGCACTCTTTTCTCTCATTGATTATATATTCCTTTTTTTCATATATAAATAATATGATCTAAGAGAGAAAAATTGAAGCTCTCTAAAATATATTTGTCTTTTATTTATCTCAAGTGTTGTTTTAGTATCCTATGCTTTCTTCTGCTATCTTCTGAAATATGATGCAGTAGCTTCTTGTCTATTATATAAAACTTCACATTTTATTCTCACATGTAAATACATTGGTTCTAATCATGAGCTCCGACTAGGATAGGGACTAGGGGTTGCTTGTTGATTGGTTTGTGTTCAATTTTTTTCTATGTTGCTGTATATCTTGTATTGGTTGCAATAATTAGTGCATTCTGGATAGTGAGTTTAGCTTATACTTTGTGTACTTGTTTGTAGCATCTAAGGTACATCCTCTGCACCTTGAGTACTTCAGCTTTGCTGGTCGAGTTATTGCATTAGCTTTGATGCATAGGGTGCAAGTGGGTATTGTTTTTGATCGTGTGTTTTTCTTGCAATTGGCGGGAAACTATATTGCTTTAGAGGATATCAGGGATGCAGATCCTTGTCTCTATAATAGCTGCAAGCAAATATTGGATATGGATGCTGATTTCATTGATTCAGATGCATTAGGACTGACATTTGTTAGGGAGGTGGAGGAGTTAGGACAGAGGAAAGTGGTTGAGCTCTGCCTTGGGGGAAAAAACCTTGTAGTTAATAGTAAGAACAGAGACCAGTATGTTGAACTTCTTATACAGGATCGCTTTGTAACATCCATATCTGAGCAGGTATCACATTTCGCCAAAGGTTTTGCTGATATTCTTTCAAACTCCAAGCTCCAGCAGTACTTCTTCCAAAGTTTAGACCTTGAAGATCTTGATTGGATGCTGCATGGCAGTGAAGACACCATTTCTGTTGAAGATTGGAAAGCACACACCGAATATAATGGTTATAGAGAGACAGATATTCAGATATCATGGTTTTGGGAGGTATGTGCATACCGCTATTATTAAATCTCACAGTTTGTCGCTATCTCCGTTTTAACCCCTCCAATAGTGGGTGACAAGTACCTGCTACGTGATGTTCTCTAGGCTGTCTCTGTATCCATTTTATCAACTGAAAAAATGGCTTTTATTTCCTTGTTGCTTCTTAGAAAGCATCACGTTGTGGCTACTTATGATGTGTCCATTTTCGGAAGGGAGTTGTTTTCTATTCACTGCACTTGGAATCCACTTCTTTACTAACCTGATCAGTAATCATGCTAGTCTGCTAGAGTCCTCCACTTCGTCACTGCAAATTATTCCTTTCTTCTGATCCTTTGATGCGCTTCATATTATTTATCGAAACCTCTCTTCTGTACATTTATCTCTCTAATTTTTGTTGCTGAAGCCTGAAATCATAATTGTGATGCTTTATTTACTAGCAGACTGTTCAGTACTGCAGTCGTATTTTCCTTCTTTGAAACCGAACCATCAAAATTCTGATGATTGTCAGTTTGGTCTCTTATTCTGATAGCATCTAGCTTTATACATTTTGAATATGAATTTTAAATGCTGACTAGCAATATCATACCAAAATATATTTATGAAATTTTCATAGTGCTTGCATATAATTTCATATGTTGTTGAGAAGTCTGATTTTAACTTCCCCTGTCTCCATTTAATTTATCAATGATCAATTTTCAACTAAAGCTGGGTGGTTATTAATTAGTTCTAGAATGCTTTTCAAATAACTCTGTATTTTAAGATTTGTTGAGAGATGCTCAGTTTTTTCCTTTTTATTTGTTATTTCTGTTGAAAAACACTTAACAGATTGTTGGGAGAATGACAGCAGATCAAAGGAAGGTTCTTCTATTCTTTTGGACGTCTGTAAAATATTTACCAGTTGAAGGTTTCAGTGGTTTGGCTTCACGACTCTACATATACAGATCCCTTGAACCTGGTGATCGCCTGCCTTCATCTCACACATGCTTTTTCCGGCTGTGTTTCCCGGCTTACTCATCTATGGCTGTCATGAAAGAACGTCTTGAACTTATCACTCAAGAACACATTGGCTGCAGTTTTGGTACTTGGTGAACGAATACACCTGCAATCTGGATATAAGTGGTTTTGACTGCACATAGAATTATGTTGTACAGATTATAGGAGTATTCCATCTGTTCTCTAATTGGATACTGTGACAAATTTCACCAGTTCTCTGTTTTCCAAAGTAGTCAAGGGTTGCAGTGGCATTGGTCTTTGTCAATGTTTATATTGGATAAAGTATAAAATAAAACAGGATTTAAAGAAAAATTATTGATCTCTCTTGTGGTCTAGAATTGCTATTGTAGTAAATAGCTTATTTTCTCATGCCATGGACATGGGGATGTAGTTTGGATTTGGGATGATGGTGTCAGGATGGATAATGTTACGGCCTTGCGCCTTGCTGCTTGCTCCCTGCCCCCGAAGGAAAAGAAAAGAAAAACTTTAAGTTAGCTGTCTTAATCTATAAATTATACTAAAGTCTAACGACTAATTTTTTTGGTGGTTATTATTTTGTTGTAAACTTTATGCAATTGTTTAGCTATAATAGATAGTGACTTTATCAGAAGCTTTGGTTTCATTACTTTGAATCCCTCAAAAGATATACAGGTGTTACCAGGGAGACTTTTAGGTTCCTTCAGTTGTTTAATTATGTTGTCCATGCGACAATGGTGAAAGTGTTGGGGAGAAAGGAAGAGAAGATGAAGGTGGCCAGAAAAATGAAAAAATAAATAAATCTGTCGTAATGGTGTTCGATGGGGTGGCTGAGAAGGGAAGAGGATGAACAACGAAATGAATGATCCGATGTGGACGTGGAGGCCACATGATACGATTATCAGTGCATAATAATGATGTACTGAAGAGCACATCTAAAGCTACTTAACCATTGCATGTTAAATATGTAAAAAGTTTTCTTAACAGATAAATTATACTTTTGCATTTAAAATTTAAGCTATTTTTTACATAATTAAAAAAAAACACTCTTTCTGTAAATTTATTGATATAAAAATTGTTTCGGATTATAATCTGTTGTTGAAATGATTTTATTTTTTTTACAATTATCTTATATGTACTTGTAATATAATTTTTATTTTTAATTAAAAATACTCATAATTGCAGAAAAAATTAATATCTATTTTATGAGAATATTTTATCATTAAATTATAATGTTTGGATACTAAATTGTATTCTTGACAATTAAGTATAAAATTCAGAACTAATTTATTATATTCTACATCAAAACTTTTGTTGCACCTTTTATATATTCTTAAGCTAAATCATAATTTTTTGTGATTTTAAGACTAAATTGCTCCGATTTTAAGAGAAATATTTTAGCACTGCAACTCCTTGGATTATTTTGTAAAATTGTGGAAACCTCGAGTATCTGATAAGTACTAATTCTTACAAAAAAAAAATTATTCCTAGATTGTCTACTAGTTCCCATGTGTTTGCAATGCAACATCAGTTGATGAGGTAAAAGTATTTAATAATCAATGAGGACATAAATCTAAATAAAAACTAAAAATATTAATATTATTATTTTTAGTTGTTTAATGGTAGTATTTAAAGCGGAAATAAAAAAATATTTTCAAAAAATAATATAGACTTTTTGACATTAAAAAAAAAAAAACTTACAAAAGAAAATATTATTTATTCAGACCAAGAGGAACAGTCCTGTAAATGGCCGAAGTCTTTGAACCCTCTTGGAACAATCATCCCCAAACTTAACCTTAATACATAACCCATAGAATTTGCCTGGCATGCATGCCAATTCAGCTGTGCTTATATGTAACCATATTATATTATATATATCCTTCATAAATCGTAAAACCATACCCAAAGACATACCATTACAATAGCATCAAGACTAAAATAAAATAAAATGCTTTTCTGATCAACTTGGACATGCAAAAAGGTAACCTGATCAATCACCACAACTAGAACTAGACTCCAATACTGGAACCTTTATGCCATTCACCATAGCATCATCCTCTGCCTTATGCTTCACTCTTCTCAACAGAAACTTCTTTTTCTGCGTTGCCTTCCTCTACTGTCTCACCTCCTTTCTTCTCCTCTTTCTTCTCTTCCTCCACTGCTGCTGATTCGGTTTCATTACTCTCCTCTTTCACTTCTTCTTCTTCTTCTTCTTCTTCTTCTTCTTCTTCCGTTTTCTCTGCTGCTGACTTCTCTACCTCTACCTCACCCTTCACTTCCTCTGGCACTTCTGTTGCCTCATTAGTCTCAACTTCTGTTTTTGGAACAACTGGGGTTTCTGCTTCTGCTTCTGTCTTTGCCTCTTTTGCTTCTTCGGTGGTTTCTTCCTTTGTTTCTTCGCTGGCTGCTTCTGAGGCAGGAACCTCGGTGGCTGGTTCTGAGGCAAGAACTTTAGTGGTCGGTTGTTCTGGGGTTGTTTCCTCGGTCTTGGTTACCTCGATTGTTTCATTCTCTGTCACAGTTGTTGGAGTTTGTTGTGCAACCTGCAAGATCCATTTTCATTCAACTAACCATTCAAAGTTCAATCCCAAGCGTAACAAACAAGGCATATTCTTGGGAAAAAGAAACTAACTAAGAGATCGATGGGAGAATGACCAAAACTACTATGTTAGAGAAAAAAAGAAAAAGAAAAAGGTTAATGAATAGTCTTAAATCTTAATTTTGAAAAGTTCAAAATTTTTTCCTTTTTTATAACTTAGGAAGTGGTTCTACATGGCTGTAACTTTAACAGAGGCTAAACAATAAGCTTGGCCTAAGAAATAGCTTGCTGATAAAAAAGTCAGTTAACTGATGTTTGAAGATTGATCTTTACTGAATTTGGATGCAGCTATATTATGCTTATTAAAATGAAAACCGGTCGAGAGAGAGATCTACTTAAAGTTAATGATCACAATCCAATCGATCCATTCCACCAATACTTTGAGAAATGTAAATGTGGCAAGCAAGAAAAATAAAAGAGAGTTGATTTGTAAGTTGATAATTAGAAGTAGTCATGCTTTAATTATAGCATGAAACTTGTCTATGAATTAATCCTCACAGAAGATGTTATTTGTAACTATGTAGATCGCACTTCATAAAACATCAAACGCGTTTTGATTTGGTGATCGAGAATGAATCGCGGGAAATAAAACAAAATAAAGAAACTCAGAAAGAAGTTGTGAAGATTTTTGAGAAATGGTGAATTGGTTTCCATGATCTGCATAGAGAACACAGAAAAGTAGTGCATCTTTGAATTACCTCAACAGTGGCCATTTGGAATGCAAAGTAATAATAGAAGTGAAAGAAATCTAAAAGAGTGGTTGTGACTGAGACGAGAAGATGTGAAAGTAAGAGGGGTTTATATAGAGGTTGAGAGTGTCTGTGTGTGTGAGGAGTCACCACTTACCAGAATCTTTTTCAACCAGACACCTCATGCCACTGTGTGCAAACTAATAATAATAATAAAAAAACAAAATCAGCAAGTCCAGTTGTAAATGATTTTGTTTCTTTGAATTTATTTTTTAGAAAATGTTACTTCACATCTCCTATTATTTGACACCCAAGAGTGAAAGATATGAAAAAATTATAAATATAATAAAACATATGATCATAAAAATAATGCATTTTTACTTTTTGCATCCAATAATTTTATTTGGGTATTTATATTATTTTGTTACTCTTTTTTCATTTTTTTATTACAGTACTAAATTATTTTAACATTATTCTGGACTCTAACGGACATTAATGAAACTCTCACAAATATTATATCCTTGTCTATGACGAATATCTTATATTACTTCTTCTTCTTTTTTTCCGAAAAAGTTTAACCAAATTTATTTAAATTATTTCCATGAGTTTAAGTGTGGTTAGAAAATAGGTTATATATTCGTCTTCGAGTTTTATGATTTAAGTGCTACATATGATATTAAACAGGCTAAAACCCTATGGTTCATTTCTAAAATGTGACTATAATTTTAATTTAATCCCAAATGAAGACTAAGGTTAGAAGAATGTGGCATTTCTTAATAAAATGGATACTGTTAGCAAAGGGGTTATTAAAGTTTCATATATAACTGAAAAAAAATTATTGTTATGAGTTGAATATCTAAGGCATGTTTGAATAAAAAATATATTAGTATTTTTACAATTAAAAAAAATGAAAAAAAGATTTCAATCATATATATTGGTTGAAAAAAAATATAGTTTGTAAAGTTTAAAAACATAATAATTATGATTTTATTAATTGTACTTTTATTTTTAATTATATTTATTATAGAGAGAAAATAACGAATTATTAAAAATAATTTTAGATAAAAAATAATTATACTGATTAAAAAATATTTTTTTATTAAAATAAAAAAAAATTATGTTTATGTTAATTAGAATAACTTAATCTTATTAAAACAGAGACTAGTTATACTAGACTAGGAAAATCACATAAAAAACTTTTTCCTTATTAAATAGGAAATCACTATGGAGTCATTTAAATATTTTAAAAGTTTTTTTTTTATTATTTCCATTGGTATTTTTAAGCACGTTTTCTTTCTCCCATGCATTTCAAAACATTTATATTATTTGTGTTTTTTGCGCTAATGAATAATATTGTTCAGTAAAAAACTAATTAACTATTTAATTTAATAATGAAATATTAAAATATTTTTTAACATATATTATAGCACTCGTTTGTATAGGGTGTCTACCTTCAAAATTTTGTCAATAACAAATTAATCATAATTAATATATTAATCTTAACTAAATATATAGCAAAACTTCTTAAAATTTATATAATATGAAAATTACTTTAAAAAATTAATAGAAAAATAATACAATGAAAAGATGTTATGTCATAGTTTATAAATATATTATCTCTTAAAACATTTATACATCTTTTAAGACATGACGGTAAGGATGATAATAGCTTTCTGGCATTGAACTTAAATATGATTTAGATAGGGTAATTAATGTGTCTTAAATATAGTTTTTTTAATTAGGTATATTATCATGAAAGTATTAACTCTTTTAATTATATTTAGAATAAATTTTGATATATTGATATTGTGAATAAATTTACGCTAATAATTATTAACCTTGACTAAATTCAATTTTAATACTATTTTCTTGCACTGTTTAATTTAATGCTTTATCGAGTGTATAATTTTATATAAAAAAAATACTTAGTTTTGGGAGTTTAATTAAAGAAAATTAATTCAATTTAAATATACAAAGTCAAGATTGGTAAATAAATAAATAAATAAATAATATAATATAATATTTAAAAAATAGAACTTAAAAAAAAAAATCCATGTGAAGAAAAAAGAAAAAGGCAGGGACGGTGATGATGTGGGACCGTGGAAGGTAGAAAGCGTGGCAAGTGCCGATCCATCACTACCGTCCAAATCAACACCACAACTGTGATGGTCCCACCTACACATCACAGTTGGCATTAACACACCAAAAGAAAATACCTTTGAGGGCATAAATAATAATTATAATAACTGATACATATAAATAGTTGGTAACAATACATTATTTAAAAAATATTTTTGATTTATTAAAATTATAATGTAATTTTTATTTTATTTTATAAATTTAATAAACTTTAAGTAATTATAAAATATATACTAAAAACTATGTTATATTTACACTCTTTCGTACTGAATTAAGCACCGCCCCTACGATGCTTTCCACGTCCTACACTCGTGACAGAGGGCCCCTTCCACCCCTACGATCTGCCACCTCACATCATCTCTTTCATTATTCCTCTGCCATGAAAGCTACCTTATTATCTATCATTTTCTTTCCCTTAAATCATTTTTATTTCTTACCACTATCAATTAAATAATAATATTTTCGTGAAATTCTTAGAATATTTTTCTTTTTTAATATTTTTCATACCTTCACACTGTTTTCTATTAGTTTAAATAACATAATTAACTTTCTATTTTAACAGGGAAATTTAAACAAAAAAAATAAATCTGAGTTCGACAACTTACTCAGAACAAATGGATGAAATAACTTAAACGGGATATTAAAAAAAAAAAAAAAAACAGATGAAACTCTAAAAAAAACAAAAATATGTGACTGTTCTGGCTTCCAATTATTCATCGTACGTTATACAAGTGACATGCTTTCCAATAAAAATAGGTTGCTTTACGAGTTGTCATAAAAGATGGTATTTTAAAAAATAATGTCACTGTAGATCATCTAACTATAGGAAAATTTTGAAACGATTCACTGAAAAATTTACAATAAATTAAGTAAGAAAAATAAATAGAATGCATTGTAGAATTTAAACTTGCATATTTATATCACATATCTTACACACAATTTATTTTGTATCTTCTGATAAAAAGGATTATTCAGTACTACCAGATTTTAATGAAATCTTCTCTGCTTCAAACAGGTCAAATTTCAAGAGTATATAATTTTACAGAAACTTTTGATACTATCAGATGGTATTTACAAGAAATGAAGAGAATAAAAGTTAAATAATAGGCATCTTTGATTTATTTATATTTGGCTAAATGACCTTTCTAGTTATGTAGATTTTGTTATTTTTTTATTATATTAAATTTAAAAAGTATTTTATGTTTTAAACAAAATATTAATATTTTATTCTCTTAAAAATTAAATTAAATAGGTTAATAAATTTAACTAACGTGTCTAGTAACATATTTAACGTTTGAGTTAAAAATGATAAAAGAAATTATCTTTATTAAATACGTCAGGTATTAAAAACAACACTTTTAATATATATATATATATATATATATATATATATATATATATATATATATATATATAATATCAAATTGAAACTTTTAAAATTCTGTGAACATATATGTCAGCTAACTTTATTAACCTTTTTAATATTTGTACATAAAAGCAATACACAGTTTATTTAAAACTTTAATATACGAAAACACACAAAAAAAAAAACAAGATATAAACGAGAAAAAAAATTAACATTTATATTATTCTCTTATGCATATGGTATTAAGTATGAGAAATTTTTAAATCACATGAATTATACTTGAATGTTTTAATAAATTTTCGACTTCGATTGAAAATTTGTGTTTGAATTTATTGACATTGGCCCAGTATATTAATTTTATTCGTTATTGCAAACACGTCAAGCTGATGCAAGATATATATATATATATATATATATATATATATATATATATATATATATATATATATATATATATATATATATACTTTAAGAAAAACAAATCCTATTTGAGATGCACTTAGGAAACTAATTTATTTCACATCTCTAGCGAATGAGACGTGTCATATTTCGAAACTTGCAAGAAATTCTTTCTTTATCGTCTGTATTTGATGTGTTTGTTTCTTGCCGTATTGTGCTTAAACTCTAATTCTGGTGATATATTATTTAATTGACAATGTGGTGGATGTAATCTTTACAAAAATCAGCATTTAAATTTTGGCTATAGTAAGAAATTTGGTCACATTAATTTGCAGCGTCCTTGCATCATAATAATTCTGAGCAATTTTGCATGGTGACAATAAATGAACGAGTGTAACTTTTTTACTGGACCATATCTCAACAATTATTATCAGAATTTAATTTTGTTCAAATATAAGAAATGTATAATCCAAAAGTATGATAATGAATGTATTTTAAGTACTGCAATGATATTTTCAAGCTTGCGTGAGCCTCTTCTCTAATGCCAGTGCTGTACTTTAACCATTAAACATAGATCACCGTCATCTTATTAAAGTGTTGGAGGGTCTTTAGCTACATGTTTTTATTGTAGTTTTAAATAACTACTTGCATTTTTGGTGCAACATTCTCTTATCTCCACGACACTTTTTTTAATTAAAAATATTTATCTTATTACGTGCTTCTTTTTCTTCTTTCTTTCATAATTGTAGATTTTTTCACACGGTCTTGATCACGTTGAGACGATGATAGATTTATAAAATAAAATTGTTATTTTTATAGAGTGCTAAATGAATCTGAACGACAAGAGCAGGGCTAACTGTAAAAGACGCTTTTGAGAGACATGCTTCGTGTTGAAAAGCGACGTGCTCGCAAATAATACCGTTTTCCTTTGATCTTTCTTTTTTGGAACTTTCCTGTTGTTATTATTATCATTTGGGCAATGCTTTTGCCCTTTGTGGTTGTTTTGTGTTCAAAATTAGCAACAACCAACGTCTCTTGGCGAAAGTTGAGGTCAAGGTGGGACTCGTGGTTTCAATCTAAGTCGTTGCGGAAGGGAGGTTCCAATCCGAACACGTACTAGACACCGTCTTATGTTCTTTTCCATCTAGCATTTTTTCATGACGTTGCCACGCCAGAAACAAACAACCAGAAAGAGCTTTAGTTGGAACGGGAGATATAAATTGGTATTGTAATCTTTACGCCAATATTATATTGTCAGATTGTTCTAGGAACTTGCTATTAGAGATTTGTGAATCTTTTGGGTGAGAATATAGAGGATTGGAATGCGAAACCTGTATTTTCATGTCGGTTCATCGTAACAAATAATTCAATGTTCCCAACTCTGATCTATCCTTATTGGGGGGCCCAGTAATGATATTCCAAAGTGATCCAAGTTATCATTATAGCTTACATGCATGATTTACCTAATAGTTGGATCTTTAAAAATACTGAAGGTCACAATAAACCAACTTATACTTGTATTTTGTATCTTAACATAGAAATAATCCCTTAGAGCTGTTTCAAAAACATCACACATTAACCTCTAATAATGCTAATAATTTTCATCTCTAGCTCAATTCAATGACATTCCAATTATGAAAATATGGAGACAGAAAAAAAAATTTGGCAGAGCTGTATGGGCAAGAGCACAAAATGTAGCAGCAACACATCCAGAAAAGAGAAGGTTTGCACGCGATAACATAATGGGTGAGTAAATGTAAAATGGTCATTAAAATAAAGGTAAAGACTACAGAGGAGGACAAAGATTAACTGCAAAATGCAAACGGCTCTTGTATGTAAAGCCAAGGGAATTTTCAAAAAATTGGTAAAACAAAAAGGTGCATTCATTCAGAGTAATTGATGTATCTCAAAGTACAAAAGTATTAGTACTTCCAAATAGGAGTTCAGTTTCCTTCAGTCAGTTGAGGTTAGACATTGAGAATTGATAAAATAGAATGCAAGAACAACCTAGAGGGCCATATCTTAAATACAATAATATACTTTTTGCCTAGCTCAAGGGATCCATCGTCATTCTAACCAACGAACCTAATAACTGTCAGACAACATGCAGTTTACATATGTCAATGAACAAAGAGATTAAGGAAGTTACAGGAATAAGTCCCTATATGATCTAGCAACAACCAGAAACATATAACTAAGGCTCTCTGCGGATCATGCCCTGCATCACAATAAAAGAAAAACCCAAGAACCATTTGTCAGGCAATTTCCAAGTAGGCGTTCACAGAAGACTCGTTAGAAATTCACAATGTAAGAAAATAACTCATGAACAGCATGTAGGAATAGAGGAAGGGAAACATGCACAAGTGAGGAATAGAGTTTCAAGCACACAAAATATGGCCACAAAGAGGATTGAGTGGCTAAGTTTATATAGAAATCGCTGAACTATTAAGTAGTATAAAAAACACGCAAGTGTCAAGTTACTAAGTATTGTATAAAGGAAAAACACATAACTGAAAGGAGAGATGCGTTCCACCATGACAAGATTGTTGAACAAATGCTTTATAGAAAAGAAAAAAAAAAAACAAGAGGACAATAGATAAGCATTGAATGAAAGGAATGTTAACCTGACATTGGTGTCAGACTGTTTAAATAGATGATGGCGTGATAACATCTCTGGTATTCCTAAAGCAGAAATGCTTTCACACCCAAGTAGCTCTTGAAGCTTTGCATCACATAATATCACCATTGCATTTAAAGGATCCTACAATTAACATGGAGAAAGAAATTATAAATCAACCAATTATGCAGGCCATGAAATACTCAATTAAAAGAACCTGCTTAATATTTCATCCCTCACTCAAAAGAAAAAGGCAACAGCTACGAAAGTAATTTTGAAACAAATATCATAGAATATAAGACCTTTCTTTAATTCCTATTAGTTTTCAGCTCTAAATCAGAATTTGATTTCAATAATCTTTAATTGTCCGTGCAACAGTTTAAACTCCATCACAAAAACCCTTGTTCTGATTTTTATGCAAATATTGGAATCTTAATAGAAAGGTTGAAGCATGTTTGAGTATGTGAAAGAATGGAGAAAGTTGTGAACATACAACACACCTCCAAATGGTGAAGCTTGATGTACTCCCAAACAAGTCTTATGGCTTCAGATTGTTGCATCTCTTTTCCCTCAGTACCCAAAAATTTGGCAAGCGCTTCAGATATTATGACGGTAGATGAAGCAGGTTCAGCACTTTCAATTTTAGTTTCAACATCTACCTTCACTCGTTTAGCTTGTGACTCCTCTGGAGTGATAAAATGAGAGAATGTTAAAGACTATTCATTTAAAAAAACAACAAAATCCCTGGTAGAAAAGATGGTAATATAGCATCCTCATTTCATTTGGGTACTGATAAGATAAATTTTTCAATAAGTAGTTATGGGAGAATAGATTAAGGTAAAATAAATTAAGTGTTTTCGTAAGTTAAAACTAACTGTAAGTAAGAGAAGTTAAAGGAAATAATTATTTTCAAAGTTGAAGTCGATAAGTTGTTTTTAATTTATTGGAGAAACTTATTCATTTTACTTTCTTATTTTCTTATCTTATGTTTATGCAAACAGGCCATTGGCTATTTACTACTTACTTGTAGGACCAAGTGGGATAATGTGTTTAGCTAGCAACTGATTCATCTTGAACATGTCAGTGCAGTCGGTCTCAAATACCAAACGCAGTGCATCATCACAAATTATCTTCCTTTTGTTACCAGGATCCTGAAGGTTGTTTTTCTTTATGTACGCCCAAAGCTGCCTCACAATCTGAATTCAGCATATCACATGGTTCCAAAAATATTGGTTTTTTAATTAATGGTACATTCCAGATAAATAAAATTCATGCAGGCTCTAACTTACAATGAAAGTGAGGGATCTAACTTAGTTTGGTCACAGATTCCTACCTCAGTTCTTGGCAATGCAGGTTCACCAACAACCGCCTGAAGTTCAGGAGAAACACCACAGACTTTGTTTAGACCACCAGCACCACCTCTTCTTTTGCCTCCGGTTTGAACACTGATATCATTTATAAAGAACGCAAACACACCATCTCATATATTAATTCCATAACGCCATTCTTAGTAGAATAGAGACAAATTGGATAAAATGTTGCATATTCAAAGCTAATCAGAACATGACATCTAGCCTAGATGTTGACCCTCTGCCTTCAATTCACTAAGCTAACACGCAATAATCTAGCAATATGCTAGAAAAAGCCTAGAACCTATCATGGGTACTGGATCTCAAACCTAAGAGTTAAAGAGTGAAGAAATTCACAATATATCACGGGCTCGCACGCTGAAAAAGAAATATATATATATATATATATAGCTGTTTTTGAACAGTATTAAAAAGCGCATTTAAAATTATGAAAAACGACAAATAGCATTAAGCAAAGAAATTGTCACCCGTCTGGTCAATGGAATGGGAATAAATACACAATAGGGGCAAGAGAAGGCTACAAAACAGGACTACAAGAAGACAATACTTCAGCGAAAGAGATATTTGGGACCGGGGTGTATCCAATAAACAAAATTATAATTATTATAAATTTATAACATAATAAATCAGCAAACGGAAAATGACATGACATGAAGTTTACAACTATGTCACCAAAAAAAAAAAAAAGATAAAGCTATGAAATTTCAACTAGAGGAAACTACGTTACATAATAGAGATAACAGTAACAACAACAAACTAACCATGAAGAGTTTTCAGAAATAGAGTTTTCAGAAATAGAATCGTACTCAAACTACATATCAACCCAAGATCGAAAGCGTACTTCAGACAAAATCGAAAGCGGTCAGCTCTAACCCTAAATCGAAAAGCAAACAAAGAAAACCTCGAACTTAAGATCTAATTAGTTAACTCGACAACAACAAACCCCATGAAGAGCAAAACAAAAGAGCATATGAAAAATCACACCTTACTTTGGGCGCTTGAGGAGGAGCAACAAGGCCAGCATTTTCAGGAAAGGGATCAACTTTGCACGGCGGAGTAGGGTGGGGGTGCTGGAAGTTGATCTCATCGTGGAGGGCAAAATGGGAAGGAAAGTGGGTGGTTGGGAAGTGGTGCTGGGGGTGAGGGGCAAAATAGTCTTTGTGCACTGGAGGAGGGTGAGTAAGAAATGCGTATGGTGGGTGGGAACGGAGAAGAAGGTCGATCTGGTCGCGGATGAAAGCGGCCTTGTGAGAGAGGTCTAACCCTAGTTTAGCCTCGAGTTGCTGAACGACTGCGCTTACAGTGGTTATGGAGTTTGGGTCAGAGTGACGCAGTAGAGACTCCACCCCTTTTGCAATATCTTGGTCGGACACCATTCTTGTTCTTCTTTTTTCACCACCTTCATATACCAACAGAAAAAACGGCTGCTTATACCTTCTCTCTGCTTCTTCTATCTCTCTCTTCACAACACCAAAATCACAAAAATACCATTTATTTCGAAATGATTATTGGAAATAGAAGCATAATTTGATGGGGGTGGATAAGAGAGGGTAGTGGTTGAGGGGTATAATCGTAAAAAATGGTAAAAGTTGCAGTGGGAGAGGGTTGCTTGTTTTTGACGTTAAAGATGAATGAAGCGTGGGAAGATAAATGGATAAAGTGGAAACCTTCTCCATCTCTTTAGACTTTGTTTTGGGGGAGAGGAATGGGGTAAAACGGAAGCAACTTGAAATTACGGAAATGCCATTTATGTTTTATGTGTTTCTTCCGACAGAGAATTTGAAAATGGTGTGGTGGGACTTGTACGGGGAATCGATGAGTGGTTAGGGATTAGAGGAAGTTTGGTCAACTAATTAGGATTTTGAAATAGGTGGGGCTTCATCTACTACTCAGCTACCATAGTCAACTTAGTAATGGAGAATTTTTTTCATTCCTAGCCAACCCAACAAACGACAAACAATGGCCCAGTTTAACCATGTCTCACGATACCCAGATGTCTATTTTTTAGTTCTTTAACATACGGGAATCCTTAATAACTCGTATGTTAATGTAAGAGACAACTACAGAACTAGTATGACATGTCTTTTTCACTTTTCCAATGTCAACAAAATAATGTAACAATTTTTCCTTAAATTAAATATTATAATCATGCCATAAAAGTAGTTTTATAGACTATACTATACTTTCTGTGTTAGTTTTAGTGTATTTTATAATTACCTCTTTTAGGTCTTCACGTACAAAATTGCACTATAAATAGGAAAATGATATTTTAACAATCCAAATTCATACAACTCCTCTAAACAACTCTCTTTTAATATTATAATAATAGTTTTATTTTATTTTTTATTTTTATTAAATCATTCTATAGATTATTATATTAATAAGAGTGAGTTGTTTGAAGGTTCTATGATTTCGGTTGTAAAAATATCAGCACTTCTATAAATATTTATTTCTCTCTCATCTCACTGTAACTTATTTTTCACATTAGAAAAATAAAAAATTTGAACCATGAATACACCACTTGATCAAGAAGCTCTATTTGTTTTACTTTATTTACAAAATTTTAAAGGTGGTTATAAATTGTTGCCTCACTTTTATCTACTTTGAATAGAATGAAATTATTTAAATGCATTTGTCACTGGTACAGATAATTAATCTAGTTTAATGACTCTGATAGTTTATTTCTTATAACAAAATTTATAGTTTTTCTTTTTCTCTTTTAAATTAGAATTAAAATGATCATTTAACCTTTTGTTTAACATATGAATATTTTAACAACTTTTACATGACAATAAACATAAAAATCAATAAAAAAAATTAATGACAAAAAGCAAAGATTATTTGTTCAAATCAAAACTAATTAATATTTTTTTACTAAAAACATATTAAATCATTTTAAAACATTGATTTAATCTCACGACATATTTTAAAGATTTGTTTATAGTAATTTTTTTTAAATAGATTAAGAAGTATATTTTTAAACAAGTTAACAAAAGTGTATGATAATTAGATATGATAAAAGAAAAATAAAACTGGTCTTGACATTAGTCTGTGATAAATTTAGCATTGACATTAGTTTGTGATATATTTTCTTAAGATGTGCTTATACAAAATTTCTATCTATAATTATTAACATTTTCAATGGTTATTTTTTAGTCATTATCATCATTAATTAAATATTAAAATAAAAAATATTAGTATAATTAAGATAAAAGAATTCAAAATAAGATAATTTAATCAAGTAACATATTTATTATTTAATATGGATAAGATAATAATATATATATTATTTATGACTTTTTATTTAATAATTTACTTTTAAATTTGTCATTTTGTTAAAAATAATTATGACTTACTTAATTTATTTTCTATATATTAATTTTGACATCATAATTATTAACTATTTTTTTATATATCATAATAAGGATTTTCCTTTTAAATATAAAAATAATAAACTATTTTTACTTTTTGGAATGAAGGATTATAATATATTACAATTACACTCGTTTATATATATATATATATATATATATATATATATATTAAAACTAATATAAAAAAATTATTTTAAATATGTTTTAAGTATATATAAATAATGTCTTTTCGTATTATTTTTAAAATTTTTGATATTTTTTAAGTATTTTATTATCATTATTATTAACTATAATTAATTTAGTACCAAAAATATAAAATATTATTTAAATTAACTACATTATTTTTCAGTACATTATTCTATACTATATTCAATATTTTTATGAATAAGTTAATAATTTTAATTTTGATATATTATGAACAATAATTTTTATATTAAAAATGCTGTTTAAAGGAAATTATTACATATAATTATATATTTAATAATTTTTTTATGTTGGATACGATATTGAATTAAGACAAGCAACCAAAATTGATTTAGGGTTTAAAGGGTGATGTCATACTATGAGCTCTTGCTGAAATGATGAATCAGTAAAGCGATAATGATAATTGGAGTTAACGAAGTAAAATGCAAGTGACATAGGTTGGGGAGTGACACATAGAAGAGAAGGGTTAGGCTTGGAAGAGGAGAGCATGGCAGAGATTCTAAACCTAGGTGCCCCCCCAAGCTTAACTACGAGGAAACGGTCGTGTCGTTCGCATTCCCTTTTCACAAAGCATGACTCCATCAACCAAAGCTGGACTGCATTGCAGCACAGACTCAAGTGCAAAGGCAGAGTCCTCTGTTTTTTCTCTGACAATAGAAAAGAGGTATTTGTCTCAATTTCTGTTTCTCGTTGTGTTAGTTCTCCACAACTATGCATTTCAATTTCAAGGCTTTTGCTGTTTTCTTCGCCTTATCCATGCGTTTGGGAATGGGTTTTACGCAGTGCATTTCAATTTCAATCATTTCATATTCTGTCCCTTTTTAAATGGGCGTATATGTCTATTTTAACATACTCATGTCTACTATCCCACCTTTATGACCTGTTATTTCCTTAACGGCCAGCATTCACAAGTATAGAGTATAATTGATTGTATAGTAGTATGTTAAAACTTTCTTTTCAACCTGTTCAATACTTTAAGGCCTATTACCTTTCTCCATTTTAAATACCTTATTTGTATGCTTGTATCCCATGTATGACATGTTCATTATTTTGTAATATCGATCCTCCATACTTATTTATAGAAACCTGTATAACATCTTCTCCAATTTTACCTCTAAGTCATTTTCTGCTTGTTTCTTACTAAAATTGCAATGTATATTTGTTGCAAAAATCCTTTGATTTCAATGTTTGTCTCCAAAGGTCGGGTTTAGAGTTAAGCTTTTCCATCTATATCTAAATATCATTCACAAAAAAAAAAAAAATACATTTAGGGATAATCTTTGACTTAATTGCACTTTTGGTAGCACTCCTTTTTCAATTCGTGAATTTTGTTACCTATTTTTTTCCATGAATTTAATTCCCCACTATTTTAATTGTTCAATGTTGGTTAACTTAATCTATTATTTAACAAAAATGTTGACATGAAACTCTAATACACTGGCTCTTCCACACATCTATGTCAACATAACACTCTACACGTTAGAATTTCTGTTAAATAGTGATTGTTAACATATGGATGCAAATTACAGAATTGAAATAGTGGGGGGATAAAATTTTCCAAAATTAAACATGAAGGGATGAGATTTGCAAACTTGAAAAAGTAGGAGAACTAAAAGTACAATTAAGTCAATAATCTTTTGCATGTCCCTAGTAAGCACATTCAAGACTCAATTAAGCATGTAAGAACTCAAGAGTGAACTCCAAAGTAAATCCATCCTTTTAGGAAAATTCTTCTAATATGTTTTGATGGGAGGAAATTATAATGATACATTTCTTTTGTTTTAGTTGACAGGAATATGTAAAGAAATGAGAACGAAAATTGACTTGAACTAACAAAAGTCCAATTTTTTCTTTCCTTCAATATTTCCTTCAATTCAAATTTCAAAATTTTCTTTCCATACTCATTGTTACCTTATTATATTGCCTTGTATAACTTAGATACAAGTCACCTGAATCGAGTTCTTCTCTAAGGCCTTCCCAGCTTTTATTTGTAATTCTCAGTAACCAACGAGAAAAGACCACCATGTAAGTCATTGCTTGCACCAGTCAAATGTGAAACCAAAGGAGTCATCTCCAACCATCTGAACTCATTCTTTGGTCTCTTATATTTATCAGTAAACTCAGACTCTCTTATCTTCATCTCAAACATCCACTTGCCATCATGAGCAACTTTAATTCTGACAATTGAAATTCCAAGACCCACATGAGTAGTCTTAGTTGGCCTTGTTGATGGCTTCAAATACAACATCTCCTAAAACAAGGGCCCTGTTATGGTGTGATCAGTTTCAGTATTTGCAAAGCATTGAAATTTAGCGTTTAACAAAACCATTCCTCTTCTATTGCTCATGTGGGGGAAAGTCAAGACCATTCCAAGATGGTGGATGTATCTTGGCTTTTGGAAAAACCACTAACATGATGAAAGGCTATGCTGAAATGTAGGACAATTAATAAGGTACACTAAGTCTTATTCATGAATGGAACCTTAGATCTTTTCCTATATAAAAGGGTCATGTGAAGAAGATGAACCATCTTCTCCACCAAAGCAAGAGAAGAGATCTAGTGTAAGATTCTTTGGTGGTGAGAGTGTGCTATCATTATCTTGTAACTTTTATTAGGGTACTCTGGTTTGTAGAGTGAAACACAATTTGGGTTGATTTACAAATTTTGTAATTATATTTGATATTTGAGCAATGAACAATAATTGAGCATTGAACCCAACCATGGCAAGTTCTCGTCGTCCAAGTGTGTCAATGTTTTGAAATCTTAAATTCATCCTGAAGCCCTTGCCTTCAAGCATTTGACATGTCATTGTCAAGCTTCCTTCTACCTTTTCAATGTTTTTAAATCCTCCAACTTGGTTGAGTCAATTCTCTAAAAAATGATCAAGCTTTGCCCACTCTCAGCCTCTAGGTTCCTCATTTTTTTCTTTTTCATCTTAATCTGCTGTCTTCACTTTCTTTGGTATGAATTTTTTGCTTTGTTCTTGCACAAGTGAAGAATCACTTGATGGCTCCTTAATAATTCTTCAAACTGCACCTCCAAGAATGTCGGATCTTCAACCAGTCTTAGGCTTTCTCTTGTCACCTTCAGGAGTGGTATCATTGCTCTCTACACGAGAGTTTTGATTATATATCAGAATTTGAGTGGGTATGTAAATGATCCCCAGTTGGTGAGGCCAAAGATCATAAATCGCAGAACAAGAGAGGAGTTCCATAAGTTAACATAGAGTATTGAAAGAATAGAAAAATGCTGATATAAGAATGATTTACATGTATTTCTAAAACACAATGGAAGCTAAACTATAAGAGAATGATACATGCAGTTACAACTAACTGACTGATCTACTAATATAATGACTTGAGCATATGCAAGTTAGTTTCTATTAATTGTCACGTGTTTATTGGATGCCAAGGTGATTCCATGATGAAATGCTGTTTTTCAATTCTTTTCCTTTTGGATAACATTCGGGCGATGCCTTAGTTAAGAGAAAATTGTTTTGTTTGCTATTTAGTGTAAATATTCTGCTGGCCTCATCATGTTGTGCGGGAATAATTTTCACGAAAAGTATAGAAATTAAATTATTCTTTCTTGTTTGTGACAGAAAATTATGTTCTCACTCTCAGTTTATCTTGATATAATAATAAAATTTTGGCCTTGTGATTGGTTGTCCATGGAAATAGTTTATCACTAAAATGAGTAAAATCTGTTTGAATCTTGAGATGATGGACTTTGTTTAGTCCTTGATGCCTCACAACGCTAGTGTGGGCGGGAATACAAAACTGAAAGTGAATTTGGATTGCAGGAACAAGCTAGAAAAGCATTAGAAGGTGCATTAAGTGGTAAGAAAAATGAATTTGACAAGTGGGATAAAGAAATTAAAAGAAGGGAAGAGCTTGGAGGTGGGGGAGACACTGGTGGAGGTGGTTGGTTTGGGTGGGGTGGACGATTTGGCTGGTCCAATGATGATAGTTTTTGGCAAGAAGCGAAACAAGCTGGTCTTACTATAATAGCTCTCGTTCTAGTAGTAAGAAGTTTCCTCATTCCTGTCTTAACTCACTTTCTGGTATTCATAATTTATGATAAGTACCAATGTACCCTACAATAAAAGTTCTATTTTTTCCTACTCTGTTTTTCAGTATCTTCTAGTTGCAAAAGGTGATTTGTTCCTTGCTGTCATCCTCAATCCATTGCTATATGCACTTCGGGGAGTGAGAAATGGATTTAGTTTCATATTATCTAAAGTCTTGAAAAACACTTCTACCAGCAATCACGCTGATTTTGATGGACTTCTAAAGAAGAAAGCTTATCAGCAAACTTCTGCCAAGGAGAATGTTGTAAGAAAATGGGGTAGTGACTAGAGTGAGTAACTCATTCCTTAAAGGTTTGGCATTACCCCCTTGATACAGAATGTTATTTATTACCCCTCTTAATTCGTTCAACATCACCTTTTCTCCATGCAAATATTAATGCAGCTATTTAACCGTTGTAACTCCGTTTGTTTATTTCCTTCGCACCTAAACAGCGGTTAAATTTTGTTTCCTCTTTAGTTATTCTGAGAAGTTAGTTAGGATTGAGAAATGCTTCTTTACAAGCCTCAATTGATAAGCTTGTTTTATATTAAACTGGGTTTTAACGTTCAACTGTGGTTACTTATAAATTCTATTAGCAGCTCCTGGTTGATTGATTTCATGTTTTCTCAAATTTTATGAAAAATGTCATGAAAGTTTAAGATTAAGTAAGAAAACAGAATTCTAGTTGTCTCGAATACTAGTTTAGTTTATAAACACATGAAAAATGGTCCCCAAGAAATGGTTGGTGCATCTTCATTTCTCTGTATGTAAACCTGCCAGGTCTGTTTTTATGATTATTATTATTGTTCTTGATTATTTGGAATACAATCCTTACATGGTTTGGCCTGTCATTGAATTGTTTGCTCATTTCATTTTCATATGAGCTGTGTCTCATAATCCAAGCATTAAAGACCACTTGCTTTTGTGGTTTATGTCTGTCTCTATCAGCCAGTAGGCTTCATGAGAACAGGATATACACTAAATTAGGCATAGACATTGTTCGGGATCACCTATGAGCCTGGCCAACACAAATCTTGAAAACCGGACTGTAGGTAATGAACTATTTTTTCCAACGTTTAAGTTAGTGGAATTGATTGACTGCATCACAGTATGGTATCTATGCTTGCTTCAATAATTTTACCTCGTTTATAATGCTTCATATATATAAATAAAATTAACTAATTTAACATCTATTTAGAATGGTAGTTAGGTTTATTTAACATTCTTAATTTCATACCCTATAAAAGTATATTTTCAAATTATTTTTAATCATGTTTATTAAAGATAGTTTTAGAATTAGTATCAGAGTATCTTTGAAATATCAATATTAAATAGATGATGAAGTTGTGAAGCCACCTCTCTCCAACCTCTGACAAGCTAGGCTGCAGGAAGGCTCTTCATTGTTATTACCAACCTGATTAACAATTAGAATATTTGTTTAATTGAGTTCCTTTTTTTATTAAAACATGTTCCATTAAATGCTCAAAATGAATATGAAATTAACTGTTGAAATTTTATTTGATTTTATGACATTTTTCAATTGATGATTGTTTAATCAACAATTTTAATGCAGCCAAACGTAACAAATTTCAACATCAATTTTAAGCCAACTACAGAAAGAAAATTTCAGAACCCGATCGTAGCAAACTAACTCGAACGAATAGTAAGATGATATACTCATTCTGGTGAGATCTTCTAGTTTCTAAGAAATCAGAATAATTGTAAGTTACAGTGTATTTAGATGTGCGTCCCAAAAGCGAGACATGCAAATAAGAATTTGTTACTTCTATGTTTTATTTCTCCCCATAATAGCGTGATGAGCACCTATTTGTGGCAAGATTGTGAAATGAACGTGCTTTTCTCATTCTTTTTGCATCAACGTGATGAGCTTGAAACTTGACGTTTCCGAACTTCTATAACACAGTTCAATGATTTCTAGGACACTTAAATAAATCTGTTCAAAAATAATGGTGGAAAATTTTTATTCCTTCGAATAGTTGTCAAAAAAATTGTTTAATTCATGTTTTCGGCAAAATGTGAGACTGCAAGCAATCATCTGCAATAATGGGAATATCTTGTCCATATAAAATATTTTCGCTGTACCTGAAGGTAATGACTGTTTATGCAATAAATAAAAGATACTGCCCATAATTTAAAATAAAAAAAGTAATGAACGATTTTTAATTGATACTACAACTCCTTTTAATTGATGCAATTTTTTTTTTTTTAAATCAGATAGATTGTATTAGAAAATTAAATAGATTGAAATCTTTTCTTAGCAGTCCAACTCCATTTGATTATGTCCCAAAATAGAGTAGAAAAAAATTTCTTTAATACTGAATGAAATAACTTTTTTGTTTGTTTGTTTGTTTATAGAGAAATAATTTTTTTAGGAGAAGAAAATATTTATAATACGCAATATAAAAGAGAGGGAGAGAAATGAGTATGAAAAAAAAAACTACATTTAATGGATTAAATCCGTATAATTATAATTAAGCTGACCGGAAAGGTAAAGAGAAAAAAACATTTAAAAATTATTCACTGTATATACTTTTTTATATAATAATAGACCATCACACGTTAAAATAGTTGTTACCACTTGCGAAGTATATACTTTTGTATTGACTTCAATTTTTAACGGTGGCGATAAAGTCTTTTTTTTATCCGACATTTTAAATTGCAATGAGATTAGGTAGAGCAAATGTTTTGTTAATTAATTTTTTATTTCTTCTTACTGTATATTTTGGTGAGATGGGTCGAATTATGTTTATTTAAATATTACACAGTGAAAAAAAATTTGATGGATATTTTTTTCCGGATTTTCTAACTCATTGTAAGATTATTAAATATTTTTATTTTATTAATTTATTTATTTATTTTTCTCTCTTAATTGTTAATTCACTTACTCAATTCTTTTCTTGTACCTATAAATTTTAATCATAATTAATATATTTAAAAATAAAAATCAAGAGAATCTAAATAAAATAGTATAATATTAATTGTCTAATTTCAAAAAAATAAAAAAATTAAACTTTCACAGTTTTTTTATTTTTTTTCTATTTTTTGCAATATTTTAAAAAAATTATATATATATTTACATTTTATTTATTTAAACATGTTGTGATATTATAACTTATCTTGCACAAATTATAAATTTTAATTTATTTATCTAATTAGTTGTTGTCTCTCATAAATGTTTGTCATTTTCTTTATTTAATTCAATCAACACCTCTCTAAAATTATTGTAAGTTTCATAAGCGAAGAATTTACTTGAGTCAATATATATATATATATATATATATATATATATATATATATATATATATATATATATATATATATCAATTATATTCATACGTTATGGCAACAATTTATCATTCTTCACATATTTAGTGCTTCCTGTTTGTCCATTTACCATTTTTTTTTCTTCAATTTTGGACATCATCGTCGCTTATATTGCAAATTTCCCGAGTTCTCTCTCTTTTTTTCTTTTATCTCTTTATAATCCTGATATACATTTTTGCTTAAAATTACTGACTTCATTTTCATTTTTTTTATATTCATTAATGATTATTTTATCTTGAATTGCGAATTTTGTTTTGTTAATATGATATAAGAACAAAGAAATATAAGAATGTGTGTAATTATGATCGAGAAAGGAACTTAATCTCTCTCTCTCTATATATATATTATTCATGATTTAGGTGACCAGCTTATTATCACGAGAGGTTTTAAAGTTTTTGTTGATGGTAACGGTACTACCATAAAAAGGACTGAAGGAGTCAAACTCCATGTTTAGTTCACCACCCAAGTAAAACTAAAACCAAAACTCAAATCTCATTCAATCTTTTTAGGCCAAGAAAGACTATTATATATCAATTATATATGCTGGTTGGTCTTCATGGTTACTATCTTGGGTTTCAATTACATTTAAAAATATAAATAATTATTTTGAGTTAGTGCTCCAAGAGTGATCTTCACGATGATGAGGAGGAGTCTCTCCCATTTTTGTGGTTGAATATTTGTGAGTTGCGGATCACCACACGACCATTTCCTTCTCTCTTTCCCCTCTTCACCCTTCTTCTTCTTTGCCTTCTTCCTGCAACACTCATTTTTTCAATCAACCCTTTCTTCTTCAACGCAATTCAATTCTCTCTATCTATCTCTCTCACGCCTTCTCAGCACAACCCTGTTGCACGTTGGAGCGGATTTCAATTCTCTCTGACCCTGTATCTCTAGCTAGCTAGCTAGGTGGTGGTTCTCGTGAAGCTGCCATCTGGGGTTCGCCACCGTTGATGTCGTAGGCCATTTGGGTGGTTTCCAACTGCAAAAGCATGGGTGATGACAAAGGCAAGCAGGGTGCATCAGACGCTCCCGAAATGAAGCACGCCGGCAAAACGGCCCAAGAGGAGGAAAGTGGCGATGAACGAGGGCCGGGTCTCAGTAGACACATGAGTGAAGGTTCCGTTCCTGTCACTGAGGAAGAAGACGAGGATGTCGAGAGGAAGCTTGACTTAGGTCCCCAGTGCACTTTGAAAGAGCAACTCGAAAAGGATAAGGTTTGGTCTTTATTCCCATTGATTCTCTTCCATTCTAAAAGATCTATGCTATTGTTTATTCATAGGTTATAACTTACATGCAACTCTATGAGCCTCATTCTGATTTTTATTTTTTTTTAGTTTTATTTGGAAAATAAAGATTTTCATTATGACTGTACGTAAATTTTCTTTATTGATCTCCTGTGTATCATTTATGCGTGTGTTGTGTTTTCTGCTTGAGATCGTAGGATGATGAGAGCTTGAGGAGGTGGAAGGAACAGCTTCTTGGCAGTGTTGACATTAACGCTGTTGGTGGTAATTACTTGTTCAAGTGCTACCCTTTAAAGTCAAACCGTGTTCAGTTTCTTTCTGTGTTCTCCAGATTATCTTGATATAACGTGTTTAGTTTTTGAGAAATTATTAATACATGGTCACGAACTTTATTGGCTTTCGTTAATATCTTGTCATCATATACAACTGAATCTTAGTAACTATTTTTTATAAAGTAAAAAATAGATCATTATATCATAACCGTATATGATTATCTCAGACAATGTAATAATGTTCCAAGTCATGAACGATAAAAAAACAAAACGTTTCTAAGTTGCATTTATATTTTACTGTGAACTGACAGAGACAACCAAACAATATCTGTGTCATCTTTAAGGATATGAATAATTCATTTCAGTTTTTACTGGAAAAATGAAATGGGCTCATTACAATTTTCTGTCCCTAATATTGCTGGTCTATTTCTTTACTGTTAAGTGGTGTTTTTTTCATTTTTTATTTTATTTTAGGAATATGTTTTGTAAGTTGTAACATTTGTTTTTATCAATTTCTAGTTAAAGCCCCTAGTGGTTCCGTGTTCAGTTGCTTCCTCTAATGAATATCCCTTGACTACAGAGTTTGATTTATCAGTTATAGACTTCACACTTGACATGTTTTTTATGAATGTGATTAAGAATCTCTGGAGCCAGATGTGAAGATCCTGAGCCTTGCAATCAAGGCAGCTGGTAGACAAGACATTGTTCTTCCCATACCACAGTCAGGAAATCCCGAAGGTTTATGGTTTACTCTGAAAGAAGGTAGCCGTTACAGTCTGATGTTCACTTTCCAGGTCAGCCATAACATTGTTTCAGGTCTCAAATACACCAACACTGTATGGAAAACCGGTCTCAAGGGTAAGTTGTTTCCTTCAAACCCAAATGCTTCACATTGAATAAACCCTGAATTTCATCCTTTAAACTACTACTTTTTCTCTTAAAATGTAGTTTTTATAACTTGACTTGTATATGTTGTTGCAGTTGACAGCACTAAAGAGATGATTGGAACATTCAGCCCTCAAGCAGAACCTTACACCCATGAGATGCCTGAAGAGACAACACCATCAGGACTCTTTGCTAGAGGGACATATTCAGCTAAATCCAAGGTAGTGTACTTAATACTTGTACGTACTGTTTGGTAAATAAGGTTTCAAATTTGCTTTTTCATGACTTCATTATATAAGCCTGCAGTGGTCACGAGATCCACTACTAGTGCATTAATCATCACACCAATAAATGCTCTAATAAATTTGTTGCCACATTTTCATGTGTTCACATGCTCCCTGTAATAAATTCAAATTCACGGGAATACTTTTCAATTTATTCCTCAATGTTATATATGAGAGAGACATTTTAACTTCTGAGATCAATTTAAAACCTTTTTTTCAGTTCATTCTTAAATTTACAGAACATGTATGAAATGAGAAAATTCACCATTTTATTCTACAGTTAGAAACACATTAGAACACGCTTGTTTGTTATAATCTTTAATTACAATGAGTTAATGCATTATTTGACCTTGTATTTTGTGTGAAAATTTTCAGTTTGTTGACGATGATAACAAGTTGTATTTGGAGATCAACTACACTTTTGATATTCGGAAGGATTGGCTTTAGGAGTGAACTCACCTCTTCCATGAGCGTAGTCATTGTTATTTCACTGTTTACTTCTTTCTTTCTTTCTTCATTATTTATTTGTCTCTAGTTCTGTTTCAAACCAGTAATCTTAGCAATAACAGAAGGATTTAGTTTGGAGAAAGAAATCGATATTCATTTGGCGGATAGTTTTGTCAACAACACCTACTTTGACTCTTTCCTACCACAATTATGCTCTGTTTATTTTCACTCTCGCTCTTTGTAATTACTCAGCTAATAAGGAGCATTTTATTTACTTCAATAGAATGTATTTGTTTGAACATCGTGCCTCAGTTATTTCAAATTTTTTTAATATATATTCTTTTTTACTTATAAGGAATAACTTGCATTGTATCACATGCACGAATAAAAATTAAATATAAATTATATAGCAATTTCTTAATTTATTATTTTATTAAAATATTAAATTTTCATTTTAATTCTTTTTATAAGGACATACAGATCAAATATAAGACATTTCATCGTAATGTATTTGTAATTGATATTTATTAAAAAAAGTGTATTTCATAAACAAAAATAAATGACGAGATGGAGGGAGAATGTACTTCGATTATTAATATTTTTATATTGTTATTCGATAATAAATAAAATGCCAGTGCGTGAAAATTAAAATCATTGTTAAATTAATTCGAGGTCAAGATTTTTACTTAAAATAGTATATTTTCCTTTTAAAATAATAGAATTGTGTTGTATCGTCCTTCCTCGTCATGCCTTTGGGCCCAACTAGCCCAGTTGAATCCTAATGAGATGCAGAAAAAGTTCTTAAAGTAGATAAGCCCAACTCAGTTGGTTGAGCCGGCCCATTTATATCTCTTCGACTAGCCGTGGTCATGAATGTAACCAAAGACGTAATCACTAGACTGTCAAACATAGTTGATTGGTAATAATGAAGAGAATTCGAGTTGAAATGTAGAATTCGCGCTCCAAAATTTGCGACTAAATTAGATTAATAAACCCTAGACATTGTTGGTTTTTCGAATTGGGAGATTAATCTTTGGTGTTGAAAGGCATAAGATGTCGATTGACCTACTGTTGAAGCCGACGTGTGGCGGATGTGGTTCAACCACCGATCTTTATGGAAGCAATTGCAAGCACATGACTCTGTGCTTGACCTGCGGCAAGACCATGGCCGAGAACAAGACCAAATGCTTTGATTGTGGCGCCATCGTTACTCGTTTGATTCGAGTTCGATCTCTCTATCCATTTTCATTTTTTTTTCTTATCGCGGAATTACCTGTTCTGGTTTTTCTTTTTTCTGAAATTGGAATTAAGTTTTGTCAGATGACATTTTACTTTGCTTTCAGTTCATTCAAGTGATACTATTAAGCTGTGAATCTGGTTAGAACTAGATTACCTTATTCTTGTTGTTAAGCGAGGGATTAACGTAATTTTTGTGACAGGAATATAGCGTCCGGGCAAGCTCTGGCGATGACAAACATTACTTCATTGGGAGATTTGTATCTGGTTTGCCTGACTTTTCCAAGAAAAAAAGTGCTGAAAACAAGTGGTCCTTGCAGAAAGAGGGATTACAGAGCCGCCAAGTTACCGATCCGTTGCGAGTATTGAACCCATCCTCCATTTTGCAAATATTTTTCCACTTTTATATTCTTCGTCGTGACTGTTTAGCATTGAGTATGTCTAAAAGGTGTGCTTGAGCACCATATTTCATAATGGATAAGATATTCCAACTGAAATGTAGTAATCATGTTAGTCATCTGGGGAGTGTGTAATGCATAATTGCTATTGAATTGTGACGGATCGTTGTGTTTATTTCCTGAATCAACTTCTTGTTGCACTACTTAGGAGAAGTACAAGAACAAACCATGGCTCTTGGAGGACGAAACTGGTCAGTCTCAATTCCAGGGTCATCTCGAAGGTGCACAATCAGCTACGTATTACCTGCTCATGATGGAAAGAAAGGAGTTTGTTGCCATTCCTGCTGGTTCTTGGTATGTTGGTTGTGTTAAAGATGAGGATTTTGTTTTTTTATAGTAGGGATGTTCCAATGTCTATTTAGTCTTAAAGCGAAAGTTTATATGTGGCCTTTCAAGCTAACAAATATATTATATTGATATTTAGTTAAGCACATGGTAGAATAAATAAGCTATTAGCTTATTATTTTTTAAAATTATTCTCTCTTTGTAAATAGATGAAGACGGAAAAGATTATAACATCGTCACTCCTGAAAAAAGGCAATCAAGTCAAGAAGAGGGCAAGCTTTTAGACAAATTTACAAAATTTTCAAATTTCTTTCCTTAGTAGATGTAAAAATAACGGAAATTTTGATTCCCTCACTTCACTTTTTATCAATTCTAAATACCAAGGCATAAGCTTTTTACCAAGTAGGAGATGAAAAGAGGAAAAGAAGTGAAACATGAAAACAATAGAGAGAGAATGGTGTTAATGGCTGAGATCCCGCATTGATTAGAGATGTGATTAATGTATACTAAGGCTTGGAATCTTCACGATACAAGTTGACGTTGATGGATTGAGTTAGGCTCTAAGACAAATTCTAAGATAACATTAAAACCTATGCTAGATTTGTTATTGAATTACCTATATCTCTCTACACTCTAGATGTCTATTTCTAGGCATGAGGGGATGTTGTTATTTGGATGCCTACATTTGTCTATGTTCTTCTAGTTGTTGGGTGTAACATCCAAAGTATTGACAAGAGTAGGGAGTGATTGTTGGTGCAAAAGAGAAAAGTCACAGGCAAGGAGTGATTTTTGGCTGGAGGAATACACAAATTAATTGAATACACATAGAAGTGAGAGGTATCCACTCAGAAATTATGGGATTGTATGATGAAAAAGGCTCAAAAAACTTAATTATTATAATACCTAAGCCAACAAGTGTCATCTACTTTTCAATTGTTGACTTTGAGCAATATTGAGAAAAGTGACCTCCTAAGATGTTTCCTTGGAAGCTGAGTGAGGCCAAAACACATCGAAAGTCATGTGTTGGTTTGTGAGGATTAAGGATAATAAAATGGGTCGGGTTTGATATGCATGCCCACCATCAATTTGGCAGGGCTGTATTTTCAATCTGCCCTAACGTGCCTACGTAGCCATTCAAGTGCGTGAGACTAACCTGCCAACCTCTTTTTTTATTTATTTTTATATTATATGTGTAAGATATTAATATTGATTTATTAAATATATCTATCCTCTCAATTCATTAAATTAGAGACATTAATTAAATCTATGATTAAATGTGTCTTTTATATATATATATATACACACGTGTGTGTGGATATGTATATTTATTTAAAAGTTTAGAATTGGCAAGCCAAAGAGCGAGCTTATTCTTTGACTTGTTTTTTGTGAGCTAGAGGCAAGATAGGCCTAAATGAGCTGCACTAACCCGTTTTATGCCCCCTAGTGGGGAGGGGAAAATCTTCTATCTTGAAGGTAGTCAGGCATTGCAGAGGGTCACCTGCATTTAGAAGTGTCAAAATGAGTGACTCGTCCTACCCTAATAGACCACCTAATAAATTTTTGCTAGCCTGTCTGGATTTTAAATGGGCTGTGATTTTTAGACACGATTTAGTTCTATGTTGAGCCTACAGGTCACTTCGGCTTGCTTTAAAAACGTAAAATAAATAAATAATTTTAAAAAAAATCAATTTTAAAAATTATGTCATATTTATGAAATTAATTTTAATATTAGATATAACAATTTAATATATAAATTATAATACATGACATATTTTAATAAAATAATATTTTTTTTATTTTTCTTAAATAGATTATTATTTTTAAAAATAGGCCATCTCATACGTTTATATTGTGGGTTAAACAGATCAAGCAAAAAACCCTAGGTGACCTTTTTTTTTTTTTTTTCTTAACGTGGTCTATAATGTTGGTGTTTTGGTCTAGTCCATTGGGTCAAGCCCATTTTTGACAGGTATTCCTGCATTTGTGTATGTTATAGATGTCTATTCCTAAGCATTGGTGTTGTTCTTATTGAGTCACCCACATTTGTTCATGCATAAGATATCTCTCCTGTTGGGCATGTGAGGGTGCGTTTAAAATCCAAATAAACTAGATATGACTAGATATTCTTGACCATGTAATGATGTGTTAATATTCTGCATTGACAAGATATACACGGGACTTAGGTCAATCCCATAAACCAACTTGAATGGTGAGGATTGTAAAAGCTTTTTAAGTATTATATATTAATCATCTCTCTTGTCAATGTGATCTCAATTTGAATCACTAATTAATATTTATGGGAAGAGAGAAAATGGTAATAGGATGAGGGGCCTTCTTTTAGGAATTATATTTAGTTAGTTGTAACATGTTAATATTATTTATCAAGTACTTAATACTTTTTTAATTATTTTTCTAGTATATAATTGGTAATTGAGAGTATGTTTTTGGGACCTAAAGTTACGGATACCTACTTCACCGAAGGGTTGGGCTAAGTGTGAGGATTTTGCTTGTCAAAGACAGTGGATAAATATATGATATAGGGTATACTCTTTCTTCTTTATATTTTTGAAATTTAGGTACAACTTTAACAAGGTTGCACAATATAAACAATTGACTTTGGAAGAAGCAGAAGAGAAAATGAAGAACAGAAAGAAAACTGCTGATGGATATGAGAGATGGATGATGAAAGCAGCAAATAATGGGCCTGCTGCATTTGGTGAACGTGGGAGGTTTGATGAGAAGGAGAGCAATGTGGACGGAGGAGGGAAAAGCCGTAAGAAAACAGGCGAAGATGACGAAGGTCATGTTTCGGATAAAGGAGAAGAGGATGAAGACGAGGAGGTAGCAAGGAGGAGTAGACTTGGACTAAATAAAAAAGGTGGTGATGACGATGAAGAAGGTCCAAGGGGAGGAGACCTTGATCAGGATGATGATGATATTGAAAAGGGTAGGTAATTGTCTTGTTTGTACTTTCTATATGATGAAATCGCTGTGATTTATTTTAACTTCTGGTTGTATGCA